AAAAAATATTTACATTTTCAAACATATTTATATCAACAACGTTCAATTGCCTATGAACAAAAACAAAAATTTCTTGAAGAAAGAAGTAAAAAAAAGAAAACATATAAAAACTTTATAATCTTATTTCTTTTAAAGAAAATCAATTAAATAATAATCTATCCCAATTATCAAATCAACAAGAAGAAATAAAATCCTATCATAATTATTTAAATCAATCAAGGTAGAAAAAATAAAAATATCTAAAAATATTTTCATTATTTATTCTTTAGAATAATTCTTCATAAATTAATACAAATAATAACATATCGACAAAAAGAAATTATGAATGAAATGTATTATCATATTTATCCAATTCAAAAAGAAAATCAAAATGAATATTCAATAGCTAATATTAAATTACCACAAGCAGATGATAAAATTTATCAATCAGCATCAAGTTTGTTATTAATTTTAACAAAAAAACAAGTGTTCTATCCTATATTTTAGATCGAGAACGTGATCATGAAGTAGCAGCAGCTCTTGGATATTGTTCTCATTTTATTCTTATTATTTCACAATTTATTCAATTACCATTGAGATTTCCTATTGATTATCATGGAGTATCAGCAATTAAAATATATGATTATAGTTTAGAAACAAACGAGTAAGAAGAATATATTTTATAAGCTAAGATTTTGTTGATCATCATTTTAAATGAAAAAAGTAAATTTCTTATCGAAATAGAAGTCTAGCTAAAGATAAGGACTACTTACGAGAGAGGGACGCGAAGTGAGACCTAATAAGACTAGAAAAAGCCTCAAACGATGAGGGCCTATAGACGTTTATTTTCAAGTTACGTTGATTTTACTGAATTTTTTTGCTTATGACAAGAGACTCATAGAAAAATCAAATTACAGAGTTTCGATCTGGGATCTTTCTCACATGTAGGTATTATGACCCCCATCGTAGTCTAAAAGTCTCAACCAAAACGAATGTAATACTGAGTACTCAAGAAATATCGATTTTCTTGATATATGTGTAGCATAAGTGAGTTTTACTGAAAGCTAAATATTCCGTGAAAGAGACATTCGTTCTGGCTGAAACTTTTAGGCTATGATAAGGGTCATAATATCTACATGTGAGCAAAATCTCAGATCGAAACTCTGTAATTTGATGTTTCGGTGAATCTCTTGTCATAAGTGAAAAATTCAGTAAAATCAACGTAACTCGGAAAGAAACGTCTATGGGCCCTCATCGTTTTAGGCTTTTTCTAGTCTTATTAGATCTCACTTATGACTAAAACACCAGATGAAAAGTTATTAATCACTTCGGGTCCCTCCCTGGTTAGCAAAACATATTATAGATCGACTCCATGTCCGATATTAATTAATATAGAGCCACTTACATTGGCTTCGTACCGAACAGATACCAGTTTAAAGTAGAGACATTAAGATTACTATTCAAACATCTGAGCTACTTATCAATACAAAGAAATGAATCACTAAATTTCAATCTATCACTATCCTACATTCGATTATCTTTTCATAGATATCCTCTTTATCCAACATCCAATCTCAGTGCTTTTCGATATGGTTTCTATCTCCTCAATCGAAATATTGGTCAAGTATGTTATTATTTGTCTATAAATATTCTTTTTTTTTATAAATTTTCATTTGTTTAGATTATGTATCACTGTCGAATAGGTGATCATAAAACAGATTTTCGAAATACATTGGAAAATTTGAAACAATTAATCGAACAATATTTTATTAATTCATCTAATAATAATATTCAGTAAGTCATTCATTTCGTATTCTATTTTATACTTTTATTCAATTTATTAATTCATACAGTTTTCAAAATGGTTTGAGTTTAGTCGTAAGTTCTATATAGATTCAACATGATAATAATATTATTTTCTTATACTTCTTTGCTTTTTTTGTAATATATTAACTTATTAATAACACAGATACATAACTTTATATATCTAAATTCGTTTTTTTTCTTATTTAGGATTCAACTTTATCCATCACTTCAAACATCAATAGATGAAGAATATATTGAAAATAAACGGAATTCCAGTGCTTCAATTAAAAACTTCTCATCTTTTTCATCTACATCATCTCTTATTGAGAATGATAGTTTCAATCAAAATGATGATATGAATTTATTTCCACAATTAAATACCATAAAACCTCGATTAGCAATGCAGATTTCACATCAATTACAATATTAATTTTTTTTTTCGGAACAAAAAAACACTAACAACAAAAATTGTGATACTTTGAACAGTGTTGTGATGTTTTGATTTGATCTTTACGTTTGTTTTTTTTTACTAGTATTATAATTAAAAAATTTGAATGAACAGATAAATGTAATTCTATTTTATTTATTTAAGATTTAATAAAAAAAACAAAAAAGAATGAGTCTTGATTCACAAAAAATGGATGGTGCTCAACGCCAACAAATAATGGCTTCAGTACAACAACAGTTGGCTCTTCAAAATGCTCAGGAACTTCTTCAAGTAAAAATTTTGTTTTTCGAAAAAAGAAATAATACGAACAATTTTTGTATTTAAGAAATTATCTGATAAATGTTTCAAGGCTTGTGTTCAAAAACCCGGTAGTACATTATCGAGTTCAGAACAGGTTAGAAATTTTGAATTATTAATTCGTTAGGGAAATTCATATTGTGTTTTTAGAAATGTATAACTTCATGTTCTGATCGTTATATGGATGCATGGAATATTGTTTCACGAACTTATGCTGAACGAATTAAACGTGAACAACATCGTCATTGATTTGTTTTTTTCTTCCAATCCTATTGTTTGTTATAAGAAGTTTTTCATGATTAGTTATTTTTTGTTTTGTATCTTCGATTTTTTTACAAATAGAAGATAACAAGATCAGTCCGTTCATTAGATTCTGTTTGTTTTTTTTCTTCATATGAAGGTGGAAAATTCTAAAACTTATCACACTCTGATATTTTTAGATCTTATAAAAACATGCCACAAGCGCAAAAGAAAAAATCTAAATATATCAATGTATTTAGTAATGAAGGCAAAGAACGAATGATCGTTCGATTTCCAGGTATACACATAACTATAGTTAATATTGGAAAATAAATTTAGTTTGTAGGTCGTAGTTTATGTGAATGTCAAGCATCAAAACATAAACTTGTTGGTAATTGTCTTAAATGTGGTCGAATTGTATGTGATCAAGAAGGATCTGGTCCATGTTTTTTCTGCGGCACTCTCGTAAATCTAAAATAATTGAATAGTTTTTGTTTTTAATTATCGTATTATAGGTTTGTACTCGTGATGAAAAAAATTTGATTACTTCAGGAACACGAGAAGGAAAGCAACTTGAAGAACAATTATTAGCTCGACAAGTTCGTGAACCGGATTCTAAAAATACAGTGAATACATCTGATTCATCATCACAATTATCATTAAATGATATTGCACAAGCTGTAGCATTTAAAAATAAACTTATTGAATTCGATCGAACAAGGTTCATAGATAATTACTCTAGATAAAAATTTAATTTAGTTTTTAGTGCACAACGAACACAAGTTATTGATGATGCTGCAGATTATTTTGATAGTAATAATAAATGGCTTAGTAAAAACCAACGTACGAAACTTGAAAAACTTCAATCACAACTCAATCATCAGAAAAATCAAAAGAATCAAAAGATTACGATTGATTTTGCTGGAAGACGAGTTACGAATGATCCTGAAGCAAAAAATGATCGATTGTAAGTTTAAGAACGAAAAATACCAATTTTAAATAATAAATAAATTTTAGTTATGATGAAGCTCGAGCTGTTCATGATAATGATCAATATGAATTAGAAAGTGAACGTTTTCATCAACAACAAATTCCTAATTGGGATGATGATGATGAAAATGATTTAATTAACCATAATTTACCTGGATCAGCGTCAGCTCCTCAAGTTTGTTTTAAATTTTAAAAAATAAATCAAAGAAAAAAACAAATATATATATTTTAGTGGGTTGAACAACAAAATACTAAACGACCCACATTAACAACTTTATCTCAAGTAACTATCGAAGATAAAGATCGAGAACGTCTACGTATTCAAGATAAAGAATTAATGCAAATGACAGATGATGGAATGTGTCTGTCTATGCATCAACCATGGGCTTCATTATTAGTTCGTGGAATAAAAATGTAAATAAAACTTTTTATAATTATAAAATTTTTTCAATATAATTTTTAGGCATGAAGGTAGATCTTGGTATACATCACATCGTGGACGTTTATGGATACATGCAGCAGCAAAAGAACCTGATCAAAATGTTATTTCAAGTATGCAAGAATTTTATCAAGCAAGAAATACTGGTATGAATAAAAACAAATACAATTATATATATATATGTCAAGTAATCCGGAAAATAAAAATCTGAAAAAGAAATAAATCATCTCGAAGATTTTTGTCGTGTGGGTGAGGATGTTGGTGTGAAAGGAGAGTAGTTCGTATCTATACATCCACACCCACCCACACCCTTACGGATTACTTGGCATCACCCAATTATATGTATATATATATCTATAATTATTTAGATGATGAAGAAATTGATTTTCCAACGGATTATCCAACATCAGTATTACTTGGATGTGTTGATGTTATTGATTGTTTAGATCGTAATACATATGTTGAACAGTATCCTGATGGTGAATCTGAGAGTGAATATGTTTTGATATGTGAAAATCCACAAGAACTTTTTTTTAAATTACCAATGCGTGGACAACATAAAATATGTAAATAAAAATAATTGTTTTGTTTTTATTATTTTTTTTGTATTTTTAGATAAAATGGAAAATCATGCACATCAAGCAGCAAAACGAGTTCTTTTACGAAGAATGCAATGAAATATTTAAAATTGTTTTTTGTTTTAATAAAAAAAAATAAATAAACATATTTATTTATGATTTTATAATTCTAATTGCTTATGTATTAAATTCTCTGCCAATCAATTACATAATCTTATCAGTAAAAATCAACGAGGAGTTAGTTTATTTTTAAGAAACGGAAATACGATCATAAATAAATGTTACAATAAGAAAAATACCGAAGCTAATTGATGAATAAAAAACAATGTTCGAACGAAATAATGGTTCGGCAGCAACATCAAATAATAATAATAATGAACGAGCATTTGCGGTTGCATTTAATTTTGAATTTTTCATTATTTTTCCATCAATACATTGTTGATCAAAATCCTCATCAATATCAATTTGTTTATGACATTTTGATCTTAATGCTATATTATCTAAATATCCTTCTTTCATTTGTTTAAGTCCAACAGGTTGTTTTACCCAATTAATAATATCAATCATACGAACAAAATAAACATCATTTGAATGATGTCGTAGTACATGTTCAAGAAATAATTTTAAACCTTCAATTCTCCATGCTGTATAGGGTTCATTCAACCAATAACTATCAAATGCCATTACAAATGGTGCATGATTTGAATAGAGATGACGATTTAAATTATATTTAAGATATTTAAAAAACTTATCGGCTACACGTGGTACACGACAATGATCACTACCTATTGTTGTACAATTTCGTCCATCTAAATCTTGATACATATGTATTGGTATAGTCCAAAGTCCGGGAAATGATTGTGTATAACAACCTTGTGAACAATCATAATTAGCTTTAAAATCCATTGTATGTGGCCATGTTAATGGTGTTGGTTGTTGTTGTTTATAATATGGTGTATCCCATTCACGTGTTATTAATGTTGAATCATATAAAAACTGATGTTCACGTAAAATATGCCAATGTAGTTGATTATTATTAACTTCGTAATTAGGTGAACGATAACCAACAATAGATGATGGACGACGATCAAGTAATTTTGATACTGTACGACGATAATCAATTGTTTCATTATAAAAACGATACGAACGCCATGTTACATATGGACTTTTATCATCTTTTTCTTTAACACGACAATCAACAGTTGGACATCTAATTGAAGAAAAAAAAACTTTTATTATTTATAACATTACAAAAAACTATTGAAAAGATTTACTCGCTCGAATTTGATGTTATACTTAATTCAATATTTTCATAATGTAAAACTCGTTTAAGTAAACAATAATTTGTTTCAGCATGATTTTTAAGAAAAACAGTACTACTAATAGGACATCCTAAAAAGTAAAAATATAAATAATAAAATTTGTATAATTAAACAAACCATCAGGGTTCGAATATTTTTTTGAAAGAAATAGATCTTCTAATAAATCATAAGCTTTTTCATTTAATGGACCAGTAATTGTTAATGCAATAAATTGAGGAGTATCACGTACAGTTAATCCACCAGGAATTTTTTGACTTGAACAATAACAATATGGTAATCGGCAACGATTAATATCACAAGGTTCAATGTCAATTTCATTATAAGATCTTTCACTAGCGAAACAACAATGACTAAATATTAAGATTAAAGTTATCCAGGGTAATAACATTCTTTTCTTTTCATTCGTTACACTAAATAATCTATATTCTATTCGATCATCTCGAATACATACATATACAATGTATTCGAAAGAAAAAATCAGACTGGTTGTTTTTCTAATCAAATTAAATTTTTTTTTGATAAATAGCTTTATATTCATCAATTGATAACAAAAAAAAATATACAGTAATTATTTATTTGTTTATATGAATAGTGTTAATATCATACATTGACTATTAGAAGTGTGGATATATATCAACATAATCATCTTATATAATAAATCACAAGATGGATAGATATAGATAGTGGTTTTCTCTTCAAAAAAAAAGATATAAACTTTAATTTATTCAAAGAAACCAGTTTTCATATTTGAAGAAATATCCATGTGATTTTCTTATCATAAACAAGTTCTGCTGTTATTATATGTATCTATAGAATATATTTCGATCGTACCAAATGTAATTAAACAGACACACTACGATCGTACCCAACACACTCTTCCTAAGTCTGTCGCTGTCAGTTACGTGTATTTCTTACTAAATTCTTGTCTTTTTCTCGTATAGAAATGAATTAAGATAACTTGCTATAGATAATACGTTGTCCTATATACTTTCTATAATGTCCTTTATGCAAGAGCAAGATAACTATACTAATGTTATCAGCATTGAATATGACGGTTTTTGCTGTCAACAATGGACAATCAGTATTACAACCGTTTCTCAGCTGTCTAATGTCTTATGAAGATAAACTATATATTTTCATCAGCTTTCTATCAAACTTATAATGATACTCTCTATCTTATTGTTTGCTTACATTTAGAACAGTGTATCTTTCTAGTAGGTCGATATATACATTTTTTTTCCCTATATAATTAAGATGTGAAACTATCAAAATAATACTTATTCTAGAAGAACATGACTTCAAATGTAATCTTTCAACATCGACAACGTTTTCAAAGAGTTTTTGTTCGATCATTTTTTGGTTTATTTACAGAATATGAAACACCAAAATTAGTTGTAATACATAGTTTATCACTTACTATTTTACTTCGTCTTATGCAAGCTATTCTTCTAATCTATTCCATATTATATTTACTTTTATATGAAAAAGGTTATCAAAAACAGGATACATCAATTGTATCATCCGTTACACTTAAAGTTAAAGGAATTGGTTATATACATACAGCACAAAATGGAACACTTATTATTGATGTAGCAGGTATATTAGAAAAGAATTAATTTCGAATAGAAGAATCATTTCATTTTAATAGATTATATTATTCCACCATCGGAAAATAATGCTATATTTATAATGTCAAGTTATGGTCAAACTGATCAAATACGATCTAAATGTTCAGAAAGTTCACTTTTAAAAGAAGCAGAATGTGACAATGATAATGAATGTCAAAATAAACCATTTTCACCAAGAGCAAATGGACGTTGGACAGGTCGATGTATATTACCATCCGACGGACAAATTTCTAATGATACATTGAGTAAAACAAAATCATCGAAAGGTTTATGTGAATATGCAGGTAAATTTACTTTTTCTATACGTTACACACATTATGAATAGCGATAATACAATTTTTCCTATTAGAATATAGATAATAAGAAATGGCAGGACGTTTGTTATATAAATAAGATAAATGATCATTTAACGTATACTATCGATATAACATTAAGATATAGGGCAAAAAACCTATGATTACAAAATATATTATTTTAAAACTTAAGAAAATAGATAAAAATTTTCCACAGACAATCTTGAAATAACATATGATAAATATCAGATGCTGTCAATCTTTTGTATTCTTAGAAATGTTAAGTGAATTAAGACAAAATGAAGAAAGAATTATTTAGAGTACAGGCACCACATGTTACTAATGAAAACTAAATAAATAAGATAACATACATAAGGCTAGAACAGCTGTTATACAATATTCCTTTTTAAGATTATTAATGGTAGTTTTTTTTATTATTATAGGTTGGTGTCCACCTGAAAATGATGAAGCATCACCAGCGCTTATTAATGAAGTTTTGAATTTTACAATATTTATAAAAAATTTTATTGAATTTCCAGTATTTGCTGTTAAACATAAAAATATGGTTGATGATTTAAAACCATGTGTTTTCCATGCGAATCTGTCGAAAGATTGTCCAATATTTACTCTTGATTATATAGTAAATCAAGCTGAAAAAGATGCGGAAGAACGTGATCTAATGTTACGTCTTGGTGGTGTTATAAGTGTTAAACTTGATTGGGATTGTGATTTAGATCGAGGTATAAAATTATGTAAACCAGAATATACATTTGCTCGTCTTGATGTTCCATTTCGTGAAAAACCATTTTCACGTGGGTTTAATTTTCGTTATGCATTTCATTGGAAATCGACGTATGAAAATCATCGTACATTAACTAAAGCTTATGGTCTTCGTTTAATAATTGCTGTTAGTGGTAAAGCTGGAAAATTTGATTCAATTACATTAAGTTTAAATACAGGTTCATTAGTTGGAATATTTGGTTTAGCAACATTTTTTTTGCGATATTATTTTACTTCATTTATCAAAAAAATCACGTACTTACCGTAAACATGTTTTTGAAACTGTTCTTTCAAGAACACGTTTAAATAGTGTATTTCAACGTCCACCAGATCTTACTCAAATTGATATTAAGGAAAAATCTACAATTTTAGAAACAACTACTAGTCGAACTGATTTAGTAAATGCAATGTATGAAAATAATACAAAATCTCTTAGAAAAACAAGTTCTACACGTCCATTGACACTGACTAATTCAGAGAAAATGAAGGTACATCCGGAAGAGGAATGATCTGTATATGTATTATATTAACGAAGTTAGGTTACACCAATAATAAATCAAATAATTAATAATTAATTGATGATGCCAAAATTGAGCTATATCTTTCTTCATCATCTTTCAGAAGTAGTTCGTTGTGGTATTACATGAAAAGGTATTTAGAGTTGAATTTATTTGTTCATAACGTAATAGAATAATTATGAGAATGAATAGCAATTAATTGATAATTATTTGATTACATATATGTAAAATAATGATCCTTTTTTAATTAGATTTTGTTTTTAATTTATATCTTTTTTTTGTGATAATTTGATAGATATGTATTAAAACAAATGCTGTACATTTCGTTTTATTGATTAGAGAATAACTTTGAAGATTTATTTTCGTATATATTTGTCATTCTGTGCTTATCTATTTTTTTCTCTTTTCTGTCTGTAATATCGTATGAAGCGAAGCGGTCATTGTGCACTTTTACAAAAGTATTTACTACTTGACAGTAGTAACAGATTTCGGAGGAGGAAGAGGTGTTGGGTGCGATTGCACTTCATTTGGATTTCTCCATGCATCAATTTTCCAAATGTCGATAGAAGATTTATTAAAGAAAAAAAAAAGAATGGTGGATATATAACAACATAATATTATATACAATTTTGAGTATTTCAAGGCATAGAGTATTCCTAATTTTCATTAGTTAGCTCTAAAAAAATGAAAAATCTTATAATATTAAACGATAGTCGATAATATAATACTGTTGATTTGAACAACTATAAAATCTACATAATCATTTTGTCCAATAGATAAGTGTTGTTTTAAATCCCATATAGAAAAGAATGCAATAAACTTAAATTACGATACAAACTTTTGCTGGAATATTTTTTAACTGCTATCAACAATGCATTTATAATTGATCATTTTTACCGTTACGAACGTATGATAACTTCTTGTCGATACAAAAATAATATTCTTTGTTAAAATTATAAAACATGGATTAGTAAATAGAATACATAGTGTACCACATTATCATTTGTGAAAAAATGTTTTCTTATATCTTTAGGTATAACAACTTTGAAGTTTTTTAAGAACTATTTACAAACATAACTGTTTTAAATATGTTTGTATGGAATACTTTTCTTTTTCGAACAGAATACAACAAAGCTCCTACAATATTTTTAAGTCAATAGCTGTTTCTCGTTCACTGATACAGTCCTTTTGTTCTTCCAAAACGATGTATGGCAAAGAGAAGCAACAATCACTAAAGGAATCATATTTTTATTTCTATTCCATTTCAATGATAAAGTATAGGTGATATATTGAATTACTAAAATAATTATATTGATAAAGCCAAAAAAGTTAGAAAGAATAACTATACAACGAAATCATTTCGTTCTATCGCAAACGTTGTTAAGAAATTTATTTGTACTGATCTGTTTCTTGCTCTTCACAACAGTATTTAAAAAAGTAACTAGTTGATGTTTCTTATTAAGCCTTGACAAAAATACGCCATTGCTATTATAAATAAGAATGGTAGGTCTTCTTACTATTTACAAAAAATAACAGTTATTGCCAATCTTATAATCAACATCAAAGTATAGAAAGAACCAAATGAGTGAATCAGAATCCAATCCGAAAGCGTCTTTATCATTAAACACGACCATAACACCATCGAATGCTATTCAACAAAGACGACGAATGGTTCGAGATTGTTCGCTTCTCTGTTTAGATGAATGTATGGATGAAGCAAATCAAGAATATCAAAACATTTTGACACAATTGAAAATCAATACTGACAATGTCAACATATTTAAGCAGCGAGACGAATGTATCGACTTTCTTACAGATGTAGAAGAAAACATCAAGTTTTTTCTCGTTCTTGAAAACACTATGGCTCAACATATAGTCCCTCTCATCAATGGTATTCCTCAGCTGGATGGTGTGTATATCGTCAATGATACTAAAATTCTACATGAAAAATGGACAACAAAATGGCAAAAAATTAAGAGCGTTCATAACAACATCGATGACTTATGCAAAGTATTACAACTGAATGTGAAGAGATGCAATCAAGATTCGATTGCCATGAGTTTTCTTACGGTAGATGAAATGATTTCAACTGATAGTTTAAATCAGTTAGATCCAACATTTATGTATACTCAAATATTTAAAGAAATCATTCTTGATATGGAACATGGTAAACAAGCTATCAAAGAATTTACTACTTACTGCCGACAGAACAACTCTGGATCGTCAACGAATATTGATGGATTTGAAAATAAATACCATACTCAATCAGCTATTTGGTGGTATACTTCTCCCTTATTTATCTACTCTATGCTGAATTATGCTCTACGCTCTATGGAAGGTGATATCATTATTAACATGGGCTTCTTCATTCATGACCTTCACCAACAAATCCAACAACTACACCAACAACAGCTTAGTAGTTATCAAGATAAACCATTCATAGTTTACCGGGGACAAGGTCTATCCAAAGCCAATTTCGAAAAACTGCAAAAAACAAGCGGTGCTTTACTGTCCTTTAATAGTTTTTTATCAACTAGTACGGAACAAAGCATCTCTCTAGTATTTGCTCAAAGCGCGTCATATAATGTCGACAATATAGGCGTTCTTTTCAAGATATTAATCGATCCTCGTGTTAAATCAGTGCCATTTGCCTCCATCGACGAGGTGAGTTACTATAACGAAGAAAAAGAAATTCTCTTTTCCATGCATACCGTTTTTCGAGTGAATGCAATTCAAAAAATGGATAATAGCAATCAACTCTATCAAGTTGAATTACAGTTAACCTCGGATGATGATCAAGAACTACGATTGCTTACTGATCGGATACGAGAAGAAGCTGATGGTACTGGATGGCAGGGATTAAGTAAATTACTGATTAAAATTGGTCAGTTTAATAAAGCTGAAGAACTTTATAATGTATTACTCGAACAGACATCTGATGAGAGTGGAAAAGCGCTTTATTATAATCAGTTGGGAACGGTAAAACATGGCCAGGGTGATTATGAAAAGGCTATTCTGTATTACGAACAAGGACTTGAAATTGATCAAAAAGCTCTTCCTTCAAATCATCCTGATTTAGCTACTTCATACAACAACATCGGTTTGGTGTATAAACAGATGGGAGAGTACACAAAAGCACTTTTATCTCACGAAAAAGCACACGAAATTCTAGAAAAAACTCTTCCTTCAAATCATCCGTCATTGGCTACTTCATACAACAACATTGGTGGTGTGTATGAGAACATAGGAGAGTACTCGAAAGCACTTTCATCTCACGAAAAAGCACTTGAAATTGATCAAAAAGCTCTTACTTCCAATCATCCAGATTTAGCTACTTCATACAACAACATTGGCATAGTGTATGACAAGACAGGACAGTACTTAAAAGCACTTTCATTTTACGAAAAAGCACTTGAAATTCGACAGAAAAATCTTCCTTCAAATCATCCGTCATTAGCTACTTCGTACAACAACATCGGTACTGTGTATGACACGATAGGAGAGTACTCTAATTCACTTTCATTTTACGAACAAGGACTTAAAATTCAACAAAAAACTCTTCCTTTGAATCATCCAGATTTAGCTACTTCATACAACAACATTGGTGGTTTGTATGACACGATAGGAGAGTACTCTAATTCACTTTCATTTTACGAACAAGGACTTAAAATTCAACAAAAAACTCTTCCTTCAAATCATCCAGATTTAGCTTCTTCATACAACAACATTGGTGGTTTGTATGAGAGCATAGGAGAGTACTCGAAAGCACTTTTATCTCACGAAAAAGCACATGAAATTCTAGAAAAAACTCTTCCTTCGAATCATCCGTCATTAGCTACTTCATACAACAACATCGGGGGCGTGTATGACAAGATGGGAGAGTACTCGAAAGCACTTTCATCTCACGAAAAAGCACTTGAAATTCGACAGAAAACTCTTCCTTCGAATCATCCGTCATTAGCTACTTCATACAACAACATCGGTTTGGTGTATAACCACATGGGAGAATTTTCTAAAGCACTCTCATTTTACGAAAAAGCACATGAAATTCAAGAAAAAACTCTTTCTTCAAATCATCCTCATTTGGCCACTTCATACAACAATATCGGTAGTGTGTATACACATATGGGACAGTATTGGAAAGCACTTTCATTTTACGAAAAAGCACTTGAAATTAGACAAAGAACTCTTCCTTTGAATCATCCTGATTTGGCTACTTCATACAACAATATCGCTGGCGTGTATTACAATATAAAAGACTATTCGAAAGCACTTTCATATTTTGAACGTGCTCTGGACATATTCCAACATGCATTACCTCCAGCTCACCCTCATATCAAAAGTGTGACAGAGAGCATTGACGTTGTAAAGAAGAAATTATAAATAACAGTTGATCAATAAATAAAGAATATTTTGCTCATTTATGTTTGCATCAATTCTGTTTTGTAGTGACTCACGCGCTCGTGCACAGAACAACTGTGTAAATAATAAAAATGTAATGGACAAAGCCGACTGACAAAGTAATATACATATATCGGTATATGTATAAATGACGTTTTCAGCCATATTTACGTTTCTAATTCTTTACGTGTTTCTTGTAATAAGAAAAAGAAAGAAAATATTATCTAAAATAGTAATCGTGAAATAAAACAATCTAAAAAAGAAGAATAACGTACATGGAGTTGAATTGTAATAGTGTCGAACGTGGCCTCGTATAATGAAGAAAAAGTTAAAAAACTGCGATATATATATATTGATCGATATGTTATCAACACAGTCTAATCGAATAGCTGAATTCAAGTTTCAAGTATTGCATATATGTCGCTATTGAAATAGATCATTAAAATTAAAAGTATGAGAAAATGAAATTTATCTATTTTATATAGACAACAACTGATCTTCTACAATAAAATAACACTCCAAATGTTCATTATGAAGCTTTCGAATCACAAACAATGGAAGATTTTCAATTGTCCGACCCAGATCGAGTTCATTATTTGTTCATAGTTCGAACTCAGTCAGAGAAATAAAAGCTGAAAATAAAACAGACCCATGTCTTGTCCTTCCGGAGTTATGGTTGTTTTACTAAATTTTCAACTATATAATGATTAGTATTTTGTTTATCACTAAAAATTAATTGTAGTACATTACATAGCTTGATGGCGCCATGGTTAATTGGGAAAGGTTCAGTATTTCATTTTTTCTAATTAGTTCCCCTACATTTAGTACAGTGGAATTTGAATATTTACAAAAAACATTTGTTGTGCTGTACTTCAACAGTTTCTTATTATGATTCATCGATCTTTTTAAGATTTTTATTTACTTTTGCCTTGAAAATACACGCTAAATATAGAATGATACTACCAAGAATCTGTTCTAAAAAAACGAGCTTAGAACAGGGTGTCAGCTTGGGTGTGCGTATGCGTGAGGATCCTTTCCCTACCCAAACCCACACACATATCCACACTCAAGATGGGCTTTATTTCTGTTCTGTGATTTTGTAGTTAACAGCGTTCTTTTTCGTTCTTCATTTAACATGTAACTACAACATCATGTGAAACCAATGACACCAAACAAACTCCTATTCACTCATTCGAAAGAAAAAACAACAGTGCATCATACAATCAACATAAAAAGCTACACAACACACATTTCAGTAGCAGTCTATAATGGCAAATCAAACTATTGCTAGCTTATTGACGTTACCAGTAGAACTTGTCTACCGAATTATGGATCATCAGTCAGATCGCACAATATTGTGCTCAATGAGAAACGTATGCCAACGATTCAAAAGCATCGTTGACAGTTATGATCGATATCAGGTAAACTGTTTTCTATTATTGGATACTCATTTTTATATATTGATCTCCAAATTATATTTCATTCCTATAACCTCTATTTCAATAGAATAACTTCAATAAAATATACATGAATAAACTATTTTTGTCACTCAAAATAGTTCATAAGTTATCACTCTCTCCTCAAAAATTCATTTGTTATATTATGACAATATGAAAATAAAGCCTGATAATCAAGAAAACATAATTTCTTTTTTCTTTTTTCTTTTCAATTTTTTCTCAATACCTCACGTTTCAACCATGAAAAATATCACTAACAAACAATGTTTTCATAAGAACGAAAAAAAAGACCAAACATTGTTATTTGTTTTACATACCATTTCCATCATACAAATCAGATTTTGAAAAAATTGAAAGATGTATAAACTAGTTTGTCTTGGTAAAGATAATGCTCTAGAAATTCTTCTGAGACGTATCTCTGACAAAAATATACCTTTGAGAACAGGGAATACTGTGGTTATAAATGACGGTGGATGTAGATGGGCAGAAGGTTTATGCACAACAATATTCACACGTTCATCCAATCATATCACTTACATTCATATCATCAAATTAGAACATTACTTCAGGGATAGTAATAGGCATTTAAGAGACTATCCTCTGCTGTACCTATCGAATACTAGCAAGCGATCTGTCATTCTTTATAACGGTTTGGGTACATAATCCAACACTTCCCAATTCCTTTTCAACTGTAACAATCGTTACACTACTACTCATTCAGCGGAACCTTTTCCATCCTTCACAAACATTTAAGACTTCTAGCAACTAATGAATCAAAAATTGTTATCCATGCAAGACTTTTAGTAACTTCGTTTTAATCAACTTTTCAAGGGGCACTTTTGAGCACTATATAGCAGTTTGAACGATAGAAATATTGAGACTCATATGCATACGCTTTGCAATCTACTGGTATCAACAATTATTAGACTGACCAAATTTTAGTTAATAGCGACCAACTATTTTGACCTTACATCTACACTACGTTTCTCTTCACTTTGTCATCTAGACACTCACCAAACTAGATCTCGGATCTAATCAAATCGGAGTTATTTGGGCTGAACATTTGGCCGATGCATTACTATATAATAGAGTAAATATTATTCTATCGTAATATATACCATATCTTTACATACACTGTTTTATATAGGCACTCATCACACTAAATCTCGAATTTAATCAAATTGGAGCCGTTGGGGCTCAATGTTTGACCCATGCATTACTGTACAACAGAGTAATTATCTTTCTTTCTACATATATACCATATATTTACCTATACTGTTTCATATAGACACTTACAACACTAAATCTCCAATGTAATGAAATCGGAGACGTTGGAGCACAACATCTGGCTGATGGATTACGACGCAATACAGTAATTATCATTTCTCTTCATCTATAGCATATGTTGAACTGTACCTTTTTATGTAGACACTCACCACACTAGATCTCGCATGGAATAAAATCGGAGATGTTGGAGCACAATATTTGTCTGATGGATTACGACACAACAAAGTAATTATTATTCTCTTTTCACCTAAATTATGTCTTTGCCTCTACTTTTTCATCTAGACACTCATCACACTATATCTCGGATGGAATAAAATCGGAGTTGTTGGAGGACAATATTTGGCTGATGGATTACGATACAATACAGTAATTATTATTCTCTCTTTATCTATAGCATGCCTTTACCTGCACTTTTCCATCTAGACACTCACCACACTAAAATTCGAATATAGTTCAATTGGAGCCGAGATCAGACGTGAAATCAATGAATATATTGCACGCAATAAAAGAGCCAGAAAATCATGAGTGTTAATATTGAACATATTGCGATAGCAGATACATAACGTGTGATGATCATGCTGATATTTTTTCTTGTAGCGTAATTCATGGAAACACCACAAATAAAACTGCTTGTTTTTCACTTTAATCTTATGTTCTTTTGATAATGTTTTTTCAGAACTGGGTGTAGGTGCGCGTGTGCGAGTGGATCCTTTCTATACCCACACTCACACCCTCTTGTATTCATGGTCTACTAATGCATATCTTCATAGAAACATCAAATGATATTTTATATTATAAAAATAAAATAAAATCAGTAGTTTTCGAATTTCATTCATACTAGTTACATTTTCCGTCTCTCTCGAAACCTATATAGTTTATTTTCGACGCACTTAATACTTGAATTAATTATACTCTAGCTGAGGGTATGGGTGACTATGAATACTATATAGATATGATATATACACCTAAACGCACACCCACACCCTCCCCAGAGGTCTTGATAATGTTGATATCATTAACATATATTACTAGCATTTGTCACCTGAATTTTTCTAACAAGGCGAGTACTTCTGCTAGTTAATATTATAATTTTAATATTGGATAAATTGTTAATATATCGAACAGTGAGTTTAATATGAGACGTAACCTTCTTCTAATATTCTAGAATTCTCATAGAATTTTACCTTTAGTCTCTTACATATACATATAACATAAATATTGTCTATACCTTCTTAACAATATTTTTATACAATGGGGTGCGCAGCGAGCTGAATTCTAGAATTTTAGTAATAATGAAATATGAAATTTTAGAATTTTGTAATTATGTAATAAATATATATGAAATGATTTGATATTACTATACATGGAATTTTCGAGTAATTAAAATTCTAGAAAATTAGAGTTAGCAGAATTTTATAATAGATGGTGTCAGACTATATATAAAATTTCAGAATATATGAAATGAAGTATGAATAAACAGAAAATGTGTAATGTAGCTTTAAGGTTACTAGGGTTATTATAACGACCAGAGCACGAGCGTGTGGGTAAAGAAAAAACGAATCCGCACCCACACTCACACCCTCAAGATGGTTGTAATTAATTAATTGTTATTATAATTATAATAATTCTTTTTATGTAATTCTTTTATATGTAATAATTCATTCTTGATAATGGTAGTTTAATCTTATCGAAAAGTTGAGACTTATTCATTTAAATAAATAAATAAACATTTAATATTTTTATTTCAAATTCTGCCCTTAAAATCGTCACATGCTTATAATTTTCTGTCACCTGATAATTCAACATCGCAGTATCACTGTGTTGTTGAATATTTATTTTAAAAGATAACATAAAAGAGTTATTATATACGAAAGATATACATCTTTATCAGAGCACGTTTTTTTTATTTTTCTCAAACTAAGATACATAAATAAAGTGCACTGATGAATATTTTACGACTTTTCTTTTCAAAGCTCATAACAAGCAGAACTAGGTATGTGGTAGCTCAAATTCCATTATCTTGAGTTGGTGACTAGCTCCAGCTCATCAGAGCTGTAACTAATCGGAACTCAGCTATTACTTTTTAAAGTATATCTAGAATGGTCCTTACAATGTTTTGGGGGTTATCCAGTTATGATCCCTGCGCCCTTCCAGTGCCTACGTGATCGTGCAAGGGGAAAAGTCGATTTCTGATTCCTAAGATCATGTGGAGCCTCGCAGCTTCTAGTAGTTCCTCATGGTTCCTGGCATGGCCTAGAAACCGCTTTTGCCCCTTTAAATACTCACTACTCAAAAAAACAGAAGCACAAAAAAATAAAATATTTTAAGATGTAGTCGCGATTTTTTCCTTTTCAGATTCTTACTTAGGATACGTAGAATATATATTTAATAATGGTCAACGAAACAGCACACGAGTCTTCATCTTCGATGGTGAATTATTTGTCATTTTTTGTGAACGGAAAAAAAGTAATTGAACATAATGTGGAACCCGAATGGACTCTTCTATGGTTTCTTCGAAATAGTAAATTGTGTTTGAATAATGAAATAAATTGTATTTGTACCTTCGTTGTCTCTAGAATTGGGTCTCACTGGTTCTAAATTGGGATGCGGAGAAGGTGGATGTGGAGCATGTACGGTACTTGTTTCACAATGTGTTGATCCAGATTCAGGCCATATCGAACATCGAACAGTCAATGGTTGTTTAGCACTTGTCTGTTCTGTCGATGGTTGTCATGTTATCACTGTCGAAGGACTAGGCTCCGTATCCAAATCGAATCTTCATCCTATTCAGTCACGTCTAGCCGAAATGTTTGGTTCACAATGTGGCTTTTGTACACCAGGTATTATTATGTCTCTATATGGAACGATCACTTCATTACCCAATTCTTCATCATTAACAATGCATGATATCGAAGAATCGTTAGATGGAAATCTATGTCGCTGTACTGGATACCGTCCGATTCTTGATGCAGCTAAAACATTTGCTAAAGATATTAACCAACTACCTTGTAAAAAATCATCGACATCGAAAATAACATCCACCACGTTTGATAAATGCCATTCGTTTGTCGAAAAGAATCCATCATCATTGTCTCAAGTCGAATTTCCTCAAGAATTGCTCCATTATATACCGCAATCTATTTACATAAAAGGTTTGTAATATTTTATTTGTTCATCTGTAAATATTTTTGTAGGATCTTTAATCGAATGGTATCGTCCGGTGACGCTCAGTGAACTACTTCATTTACGTCACACTTATCCAGGTAGTGCATCGAAACTAGTTTTTGGTAATACAGAAGTTCAGATTGAAACCAAATTCAAACGATTAAAATATCCTCGCTTAATTGCCGTGACCCATGTTAAGGAATTAAAAGAAATGCAACGAACAGCGAATTCATTGATTTTGGGTGCTGGTGTAACACTGACTCAGCTTCAATCGAAATTAGTCGAATGGAATGATGAAAAAATTGACGGTGGGATTTGTCAGTCACTCATCGATCAATTAAAATATTTCGCATCGACACAAATACGTAATGTTGCCTCGCTTGGTGGAAATGTTGTCAATGCTTCACCAATGTAAATAAAAATACTATTTTGATTATTAGCTCTTGTTTTTATTTTCTTACTAGTTCGGATCTGAATCCGGTGCTGCAGGCTGCGAATACTGAACTGGAACTTCGTCGAACTAAAGACAATTCCGTTCGTTTTGTGTCAATGCATGAATTTTTTCTTAGCTATCGTCGAATAGCGATGACAGATGACGAAGTACTCGTTGCTGTGCATATTCCTCTTCCGAAACCATCGACCAAATATTTTTTACGTGCATATAAACAAGCACGTCGACGAGATGATGATATCGGCATTGTTAGTGCCGGCCTTCAAGTTCAAGTTGAACCAGTGAAATCGGAGGTGAACCAATGGCGTATTGTTTCGGCTCGTTTTTCGTTTGGAGGTATGGGACCAACAACTGTGATGGCGATTAACACACAGAAAGAATTGATCGGGCAACTATGGACAAAAACAGTCATAGTCAAAGCGTGTCAATCAGCTCTAAAAGAGCTACCACTCGATGAGATGACACCAGGTGGTCAACCGGAATACAGGTATTGTGTGTTTTTATACTAACAGATGATGTATACTCGAATGTTTCAGACGTACTTTGCTTCAATCGTTTATGTTTAAATTCTATCTTTATGTCTGCACAAAACTACGTCCATCATTCGTCGATGAAGTAGATCTTTCCGCAGTCTATCCCTATGATCGACCAGTATCACATGGCCAACAAATCATACCTGAAAGGTCAGAATCACAGAAAGTTGTTGGCACATCCTTGCCTCATCGGTCGTCTTATCTACAAACGACCGGCGAAGCAAAATATACCGATGATATGCCATCATTGCCAGGTACTCTTCATGCTGCACTAGTACTTTCAACTCAACCGCATGCTCGAATCAAAAATATCGGTATCGTATTTATTTATTCTCTCTCGAATACATCTGTGTGAATATTTTGCAAATAGATATTGGTGCTGCTTCGCATGTGCCTGGTTTTGTTACATTTGTTAATCATCAAGACGTACCCGGTCGTAATGATACTGGTGACATGGTCCAAGATGAAGAGGTGTTTATTTCATCGATTGTTCAGTGCGTTGGAGCGATCATTGGTATTGTTGTTTGCGAAACAGAAGCAGCAGCTTATACAGCTGCGGGTCTTATTCAAATCGAATATGAACTGTTGACACCAACAATTTTGACTATTGAAGATGCAATTCAGCAAGAATCGTTTATAGGCGATGAACAGCGCCTTCGGCAAGGTAATCCTGAGAAAGCTCTTGCTGAAGCTGAACACACGCTAACAGGAACATTGTTCATCGGTGGTCAAGAGCATTTCTATCTCGAAACAAACTGTTGTATGGCGATACCATCGAATGATGATCACGAATTAACATTATATTCATCGACACAAAATCCAAGCAAAACTCAAGAGTTGACTGCATTGGCACTTGGTATTGATTCTAATCGCGTTACATGTCGTATTAAACGAATGGGCGGAGCATTCGGTGGCAAAGAATCAAGATCGTAAGTTAATATATGACATTCTTAAAATAAATTCTATGAACTTATTTGTAGAATCACTCCATGTGTTGCTACGGCAGTGGCTGCCGTCAAGGTCGGTCGTCCGGTTCGCCTTAATATGGAGCGAGATATCGATATGTGTGTTACCGGGCAACGACATCCGTTTAAAATCGACTATAATATTGGTTTTACTAGTGAAGGTCGTTTCTCAGCATTGGATGTTCGTTTGTGGAATAATGCGGGATGTTCCTTTGATCTTTCTATGAACGTCATGGTACGAGCTATGCTTCACATTGATAATACATATCAATTTCACAATGTTCAAGTACGCGGTCGAGTTTGTAAAACAAATTTACCGTCTAATACAGGTCTCAACTTGCAATAAAATGAAAGATAACGATTATTTACTATTTTCTATTGTAGCATTTCGTGGTTTTGGCGGGCCGCAAGCGTTACTAGCTTGTGAAACAATTGTTGAGCATGTAGCTGCTCATCTTAAACTCGATCCATTCGTTGTTCGCCGTCTTAATCTATATCAAGAAGGAGACTTAACACATTTCGCTCAACCATTAGAACGGTGGAACATTCCACGACTTTTCGATGAACTTGTTAAATCGAGTGATTTCATTGAACGACAAAAGAGTGTTGAAACATTTAATAAACTAAATACTTATCGAAAACGTGGTATAACTATTCTAACAACTAAATTTGGCATTGCCTTTACAGCAAAATTTTTCAATCAAGCTGCTGCCCTTGTACATATTTACAAGGATGGATCGGTATTGCTCACACATGGAGGTACTGAAATGGGTCAAGGTCTTCATACTAAAATGATTGCTATCGCTGCTGAAGCGTTAGGTTGTGATGTTAACAAAGTACATATTAGTGACACATCGACGGACAAAGTAGCTAATACCAGTCCAACAGCTGCATCGGTGTCGTCGGACCTTAATGGAATGGCTATTCAAAATGCATGTGAACAGATTCGTCAACGTTTGGATGCAATACGTGCCCGTGATAGTAATAGTCATCTATCATGGGAAGATATCGTCAAACGAGCTTATTTCGAACGTGTGGATCTATGTGCACACGGATTTTATTCCGCACCCGACATAATAGGGGCAGATTTTGTCAACAACCGAGCTAGTTACAATTATTTTACACAAGGTGCAGCAGTAAGCGAAGTAGAATTAGATACTTTGACTGGTGACTGGCATCTGTTACGCGCAGATATTCTTATGGTACATTTTTGTATAGTGAATTTTCTAGAACTATTTTTGTTTGCTTATAATAGGATGTTGGCACTTCACTTAATCCTCAGATTGATATTGGACAAATCGAAGGGGCTTTTATTCAAGGTCTTGGCTTATTTACAATGGAAGAACTAATCTATGGTGATTATACACAACATAAATGGACCAAACCAGGTGCACTATTTACTCGAGGACCAAGTACATACAAGATTCCATCATTCAGTGATGTACCACTTGATATGCGTGTATCACTTCTTTCCGATGCACCCAATCCTCTAGCGATCTATTCATCAAAAGCTATTGGTGAACCACCGCTCTTTCTTGGTGCATCGGCCTTTTTTGCACTGAAACATGCTTGTATCGCCTACCGAGAGCAGCAGGGTTTATCGGACTATTTCACCCTTCATTCACCGGCCACTGTCGAAAGATTACGCATGGCTTGTGCTGATGAATTTACACAACGTGCATGTCCGAAAGAACATGAAACATTCCAAGCACGAGGATCATACTAAATTTTATCGTTCAATCTTTTCTTTCTTTTTCATAAAACAGAGTGTCTTCACAAACTTCTCACAAAATTTAAATTTAAAGAAGGTGTAGGTGTGGGTGTGCGTGTGGGTCTGTGCTGCCACCACTTCTGCTTTTAGCAGAAAAATTCTGCTTTTTTAAATATTGGGTCACTCATACTTGTAATCAGTAATTCTCATCTGAATGATCATTTTTCGAATTCTAAAAATGAAATTTTACCAGTAATCGTTCATATTACTATATTGTCCTATTTCAACTTGAATTGTTTGTCTTGTGTTTTCTAGTGACTGATTGTGTTTCTTAATATTGAATATTTAAGTTGAATACTTCTACTTATTTCTTAATTTGTTATTTTTCTTTGGTTTGTTTGAGTAAAATCAGAATTTAGTACGCACTTTTGAGGAAACTACGTTTCGTACCACTTCGTCATTTCGAATTTCTGTAGCAGGTGTTCGTTACGAACTCCGCGAAAACGGAAAACAATTAAAATAACGCATTACAAAGTTAGGGATGGCGGTCGACATTCAACTAAAAAAGCAGCATTTTTGGGATAAAATACTCGGTAAATCGTAACTAATACCAAAAATATTCAATAGTTATCCTTAATGATAAAAAATCGTAAGAGAAATCATTATTTTCGTAACAATCCCCTGCTAAAATTATTCGTCAACTGTGTGTCAACGTCAATTTATATCTTGAGGGTGTGGGTGTAGGTGTTTCTTCTTCACTCACACCCACACTCACCCTCAAGATAAATTTTATGCTTGTTCTGTGATTTTGTAGTTAACATCATTCTTTTTCCTTTTTTTCTTTCTATAAGTAATTGCAACATTATATGAAACCAACGACGCCAAACAAACACCTACTCAGTCATTCGGAAGAAAAAGCAACAGTACATCACACAATCAACACATAAAGCTACAGAATATACTTTTGAGCAAAAGTCTATAATGGCAAATCAAACTATCGCAACCTTCTTTACTTTACCGGTAGAACTTGTCTACCGAATAATGGATTATCAATCCGATTTTACCATTTTATGCTCAATGCGAAACGTATGTCAACGATTTAACAATATCGTAGACAGTTACGATCGATATCAGGTAAACTTTTCCCTATCATTATAGTCTAGTGTTCCTTTATTGATCTTCAAACTGCTTTTCATTCCTACAGTCTCTACTTAAACATACTAACTTGTTTTTTTCTTCCTTTTCAATCTCATCGAAATATTTCACGTTTTAAACAAGGTGTAATGCTATAAGCACACAATGTTTACATAAGAACGAAAAAAAGAGACAAAATATTGTTATTTGCTTTACACGCGTATCTCGACATGTTTTTTTTTCACATACCGTTTTGATCATAAAAATCAGATTTTGAAAGAAGTGAAAGGTGTAAAAACTAATTTATCTTCGTAGAGACAATCTTCTAGAAACTCCCCGAAAACATATCTCTGATAACTATTCTTTTGAGACCAGAGAGCACTGTAGTTACAGATGACGGGAGATGTGGATGGAGAGAAAATTGATGTGAAACAATATTCACACTCTCATCCAAATTATGAAATTAGAACATTCCTTCAAAGAGTATTACTCCTAAAGCAAATGTCTTTCTGTGATAAATATCCTGAATGCATTTCAACTGAAGCAAGCTTTCTCAAGGACGAAATTTAGAAAATAATTCATTGTCACAATTGAAAAAGCGATGATTCCCGTACATAAATCTAGTATGTATTTGTCTTCCACTCAATTGGGCACATAATCCAACGCTTCACAATTCTTTTTTCACCGAAGCAATTTTCACACTACTATTTATTTACCAGAACCGTTTCCTTCCTTCACAAACATTTAAGAATTCTAGCAACTAATGAATCAAAAATTAATATTCATGCGTGGCTATTAATAACTTCGTTCATAATCAACTTTTCGAGCAATAATCTTAAGCAATACATAGCATTTCAAATGATAGAAATATTGAGATTGATATTCATTAGACTGACCACATTTCGGATAGTACCGAGCAACAATTCTATTCTTTCATCTACACTACCTCTTTATCTGTACTTTACCATCTAGACACTCACCACATTAGATCTTGGATGGAAAAAAATCGGAGAAGTTGGAGCACAACATTTGGCTAATGGACTACGATATAATACAGTAATTCTCATTCTCTCTTCATCTGTACTATATTTTTAATTGCACTGTTTCAACCAGACACTCACTACACTATATCTCGGAGGTAATCAAATCAGAGCTATTGGAGCACAATATTTGGCTGATGGATTACGACACAGCACAGTAATTATCATTCTTTCTTTATCTATAGAATGTCCGCACTTGCGCTATTTCATCTAGACACTCACTACACTACATCTCAGCTCTAATGAAATCGGAGACGTTGGTGTACAACATTTGGTTAACGGATTACGACAGAACACAGTAATTATCATTCTTTCTTCATCTATACAATGTCTTTACTTGAACGGTTTCATATAGACACTTACCACACTAGATCTCGGATATAATAAAATCGGAGTTGTTGGAGCACAACATTTGGCTAATGAATTACAACGTACAACAGTAATACCATTCTCTTTACATCCATATTATGTCTTTCCTTCCACCGTTTCATTTAGACACTCATCACGTTAACTCTCAGTTTTAACGAAATCAGAGATGTTGGAGTACAACACTTGGTTGATGGATTACGACAAAACACAGTAATTACCATTCTCTTGTCATCTATAATATGACGTTTCTTTCACCTTTTTATTCAGACACTCACCACACTAAATCTTAGCTTTAACGAAATCGGGCATATCGGAGTTCAACATTTGGCTGATGGATTACGACATAACACAGTAATTCTCATTCTCTCTACATTTATATTGTGTCTTTACCTCTATGTCTTCATTTAGACGCTCACCACACTAAATCTCGGCTCTAATGGAATCGGAGATGTTGGTGCACAACATTTAGTTGATGTATTACAACACACCACGGTAATTATTATTCTCTTTACATCTATATTATGTCTTTCCTTCCACCTTTTCATTTAGACACTAGTTGCACTAAATCTCGCAAAAAATCAAATCGGAGATGTTGGAGCACAACATTTGGCTGATGGACTACGATACAATACAGTAATTCTCATTCTCTCTTCATGTAATATGTCTTTAATTACACTGTTTCAACCAGACACTCATCACACTAGATTTCAGATATAATGAAATCAGAGATATTGGAGCACAGCATTTGGCTAACGGGTTACAACACAACACAGTAATTATCATTCTCTCTTCATCGATAGCATGTCTTTATCTACACTTTTTCATCTAGAGACTCGCCACATTAAATCTTGGAAATAATAAAATCGGAGATGTTGGCGTACAATATTTGGCTGATGTATTACGACATAACACAGTAATTATTATTCTCTCTTCATCGATACCATGAGTTTACCTGTACTTTTTCATCTAGACACTCACCACATTCAATCTCCGAGGAAACGAAATCGGAGATGTTGGAGGAGAACATTTGGCTGATGGATTACGATATAACACAGTAATTATTATTCGCTCTTCATGTATACCAAATCTTTACCTGTACGTTTTCATGTAGACAATCGTTGCACTAGATGTCGCAGCTAATGGAATCAACCATGACATCGAACGTGAAATCAATGAATATGCTGTACGCAATATGAAAAATAGAAAACCATAAAAGTTAATATCGAATATATTTCAATAACAGATACATAACTAGTGACGTTGGTAGACATTTTTTTCGTACAGTGTAATTTTTATAAGCACCATAAATAAAACTGTTTATTTTTCAACTTCATCTGCATTCTGATTTTAATGTGTGCTTAGAGCTTTTTCTATGATGAGAAGGATATTATGCAAAAGAAAATAATGGAGCTTTTAGAAAAATATTTTCTGACACTGCAGCAAATAGAAAATCAGACTGAGATTGTATATTATAATAAGAAAGCTCCGAAGGCTTGTTCTCAGTGACGATTAGGCAGAAAATGCATGGTAGGATAGTAGCAAAAGTCTGAAAGATTCTTCCTAATCACTTCGAAAAATAAAAAGTGCTCTGTAATAACAGTAAAACCCCAAGAAGTTATTCTTAGTAACGCTGAACCAAGTATGGTTGTAGAATAAATGCAATAAAAATTCGGTCTTAAATGATCATTATCAACCACAGACAAGCATAAACAAGAAACAAATGATGTTACAAATAATGAAGGCTTTAACTTTAACAAATAGAAATGTTAAAAGAATATCAACAACAAAATAAATATTTGAAAATGATTTTGATTATCGCTAATAGTGAATTCGGTTGGGTCTTAAATGATCATTATTATTATTCTTTAGTGGATATTCATACCTGAGTTAGAATTATTATTGCTAATAACTAACATCATTGTCAAATGTTTATGTTTGTTAAAGTGAACATCTTCGTGGGTGTAGGTAAATAAAAGATGAATTTACATCTCTACCCGCATTCTCATCGACCACCACCTCCACACCCTTCCTTTCAGAAAAGGAAATAATCCTTTTTTAAAAAACTTTGATCTTTTTTTAACGCTGATTTCATTTAAAAAACTGTTGCTTTGAAGACTCAATATTTGTTGTTGGTTAAATTATTAGCAGATACTCATACATATGTATTTAGCTGATGGTAGTAGCGCTAATCCAGTATGAGAAAATAAGCAGATGCTTTCATAATACCTTACAATGCGGCGACTATCCCATAGATAAGAGAATAAGACATGTGTATTTTGCTCCCAGTATTGAAATATAAGAAAGGAGATGATGATCGCAGCATCGAAGAATCAGTTTTATCTTTTCAACTAGCGCAAAAAGTTGGTGTAAAACATGCGCACCATTCTATCCGCTACCATATTGGTGTATACAATTTGTTCATGCTTGTTTGGTGTGTCAAATGCTGATTTAAAGGGCGTCTTTGCTCATTATATGGTATGTGATAACAACATGAAGTACTTTTTCACTCCGCGGCTCTAACATTCAGTTTTTGAAATAGGTTGGCACAATGCAGCCATGGCAAGCCGTCATAGATGTTCAAGAGGCACAATCTGTAGGAATCGATGCCTTTGCTTTGAACGTTGCTAGCACAGACACATGGTCTACAAATGCAATCCAGTATCTTTTCGATGCAGCAGCTCAATACAACAATTTTAAGTTATTCTTCTCTTTCGACATGATTCACTTCACTCATCCATCTCAATTTCTTGGTCTTATCGAGCAATGGCACAATCATAAGTCGTATTACTCACATAATGGCCATCCGTTTGTGAGCACATTTTATGGGGCGAGGTTGTCCTTTGGTGAAAGTAGCCCTAGCAACGGTTGGCAGAAACATTACCGAGAACCACTACAAGCAAAGGGAATTTGGACATACTTTGTACCAGCTTTCTCAGATGCAATGGGTAGTCCAACTGGATTTACCTATGCTTTCCCAGTTATTGATGGAGTAATGAATTGGGATGGCGCTTGGCCATATGAATCGGATGGACAAGTCGATGTTAGTAGTGCGAGTGATCAGGCATACTTGACCGATACGCATACCTATTCAAAGACCTTTATGATGGGTATGTTGTGATAATTCTTAATTCTATCTGCTGTACAGCTGAGTGTCATGCCTTTTGCTTTTATCTTAAGAGAAAGATGTGTTTTCAGAAAGCTTTTTCTCTATTTCCTAAAGATGAAACATAGTGTTGTCCTTACAATAGCGAAGTGGAAGCGTTCGACATCGAGTTTGTAATACCTCACTTTCGAATATTTACTAAGTTATTTGGAGGCGTCGCATATCTCGCTAATTGTATTCCAGATGATTTCAAAAATTATAAATATAAATAATAAAATAGATCGGAAGTATGGAAGTTCTTTAATAACAGAACTGAATCAACGCAGATATGATGTATCAGTTCTTAATTTTTTCTAGACAACTTCTTAAAAGAGTCATATATGACTTTTAGCTATTGATTTGCAAAGTTTTTTTTGGTAGTTCATATCGATGAACTTCATTAATACAGATATTCCTTACCTCGGATTTGTTTCATAATATTGTATTCACATCCTCAAGAATCATCAGGAATATAACTAGCGGCTAATTTTCCTGATGAATTTTCTATTGAGGAGACATTTTCCACATCCTACTTGAAACTCTGATTTTTATTCTCTGAAAATAAATTTTAAATTAATAACATTTGACATTTGGTATAAATCTCAAGAAACCAATCTAATATATTCTAATATTTTCGTAGCCATATCACCCGTTCAATTTAAACATATGGATCATAATCAGAATTGGTATCGACGTGGTGAACTTAATTATGCAACTAGAATTCGTCAAGTTCTCTCCCTTGCTCCTGATTTTCTTGAAATTGTAACCTGGAATGATGCCGGTGAGTCGCATTATTTCGGAAAAATCTGGCCAGATTCCATAGCTGGTACTAATATCCAAACCTATACCGATGGTTATGATCATTCAGGATGGCAAAAGTTGTTACCACCATTTATAAAGGCATATAAAGCTGGCATCAAAGATGTTTCCAGTTTAATACCATCGGATGGAAAAGCAGTAAGTGGTGTGTTTTGGTATCGACCGTTATTAAAGTCGGCATCTTGCATTAATGATTTTATGGGAAAACCGCGCGGATGGATGAATGCTGAAGATAATTTTAATTTGGTGGTATTGGCAGACTCACGTGCGAGTGAGTACACAATTAACATCTACAGTGGATACGATATGCTTGCGTGGTATCGTCCTGTACAAGGTTTAAACTCATGGAGCATTCCTGGCTTACGAATTGGATCACAGAGTATAGAAATTGTGGATATTAACGGACGGGTCATAGCAAGTGGAAAGGGAACAATGACTGTTATTGGAGATATGAGTCATGGAGTTTGTAATTATAACTATCAAGTTGTTGGTTTTTAAATATAATTGCAAAAATAAATATATGAAGTATAAAAAAGAGTCAGTCTATGTGTAAATATAGTCGATACAAAAGGTATTGAACCAGTAGATGGTGCTTCAGGTTATCCCAAAGTGAGTGGGTACAGTGAAGATATGATATGTATGATTAGCGAATAAAGGTAAAATAAAGAAGGGTGTGGGTTAAGAGAAGGTAGGAACCTGCTCCTGCATTCACGTACACCCACACTCGAAAAGTATGAATAATTTTTTTTGACTAAAGTGGGTGTGGGTGTGGGTGTGGTTGTGGACAAATGAGAATTATAGATGGATATAATATACATACCCACACCCACCCTCAAGATGTTCATTGGACATATGTATCAAAATACACCCGTGACAAATAATGATACAATCTGGTGTCGTTTAAAAGTTTATTTCGCAACTGTTGCTATGGTATGTGCATTATATGCAAATACATTTCAAGCTCTTCACTGCTTTTGTCGGATAATTTATTATACTCGTCTTTTTTTTCATCGTAATATATATCTATATAGTTTCGGCATACTAATTCAAATATTCCTAAGTATACTTCAACCATTATCAGTTCTGGTAACAGGTGTATATCAATATGAAGATTATCATTGTCAAATGAGTTTGACAAATTGGTGTGGAATGATATTAGGAGCTTTTCTGATTTAGCTTTCACCTATTACAATTATAGTCATTATCTATGCATGTACACCGAGTTATATACGTCATTATTCAATAGCATTTACTCTACTACAACAAACAAGAATTAAACGTGATTTTACTGTTATAAAACGTATCGTATGATTAGTCTTTTTTATATTCATATTTGGTATGCCAGCACGTGCTTCAACCATCGTATACTATTTATTTGGTTACATTGGATGGTGAGCTAACCATTTGACATGGTTAACATGTATAGCATCTTTTATTGGTTTCACATCTTCGTGTTTTATGATCGAAAAATCCCGCTCGAATTAATGTGAGAAGAGTAACAACATTAAGAAATTTTACCTAACTTATATAATCAAAAACTTTTTCTCCTTGCTTCACCTTATTTGAGCAGTCATCCTATTCCGCAATGTTGAACATTTCAGGAACCAGTTCCGCTCCGAAATCGATTCCGTTCAATTCCGGGAACTCGATCGACACATAATATCCGATACCCACTCGAAAATTGATCGAGTTCCGTGGAATTCCGGAATTGGTAGGAATTCCGTATAATTCCGGAATCGGTGGAAATTGGCAGGAATTGGTAGGAATTCCGTGGAATTCCGTAATTAGAAGTAGTTCACGCAATTCCGGAATTGGTGGGAATCGGTAGGAATTTCCAGGAATTCCGTTCAATTCCACTGAATTCCGTCTTGATGCAATTCCCGGAATTCCGTAACGGAATTGGATCGTATTCAAACGGGATAACTTATCAACACAACACAATAAATGTGGGTGAGGTGGATGGTGTGATTCCGGTACGGAACTCCGGAATCGGAACCAATTCCCGCAATTCCGGAATCGGTAGGGATTCCGTGCAATTCCGGAATCGGTAGGAATTCCGTGCAATTCCGGAATTGGTCGAACTCGATCAATCTTGACTGGGTGTCTTATGTTGTGTGTCGATCGAGTTCCCGGAATTAGACGGAATCGATTCCAGTGCGGAACTGATTCCTCCAATGTTCAACATCGCGGAATAGGATGCATTCTCCCTTATTTTTCATGTGTATTTTTGTTTGATCATTGAACGACAGATAGACAACAGGAAAATACAATATAAACAAACTGGGTACTTCTCTGCCGCTTGTGATAGGTGAAAATATTCATGTAGAAAAATAATCTTACTTTTTTCTAATTAGAAAAAATAGTTCTTAATAAGGGAAGAAAATTCTTCAAAATTTTGTTTTCACTTTATTCTGTTTCAAGCCGGATCGATTATAAATAAGTTAGCATACTCTTTATTCATGGTCAAAAATATGTTTGTAGAACGATATAAATGATCGTTAGCTATTGTGATATCTGCTTTTCATTTTCAAATTATTTTACTTTCAATCGATCGTTCTATTAGTATTATTCGTAATATGCTTTAGTAATGAAGAAAAAAAAAAAATCTAATAGTGTGCTTATACTTTGTTATTCATTATCATATATGATATGTATTTATTTTTAGATTCTATTGTATTGCATGTTATGGGAACGAAAAAATATCATGTGCTTTTTCTTGATCCAATCAATTTCGTTACTTATATTTTTTCATTTATTTACGTATAATATCAAACAAGAAAGTTGCTACAGTTCGATCATATAATAAAATACCGATATAATACGTTAATATTGTAATTATAAGCAATATAGACTTTATTTGCAATTAGAATCAACAAATGTTGTTTTTTTGTCGTGATAGCGTACTTTTACACATCTAAAAAGATATTACGTTGACAATATATGGTTTATCTAAATTCAATGAAATATACTTTTTCATAAACGTTTTGATGATTATTGCAATTCAAATAAATTTCCTCAAATATAATTTGAAAAATATTTTTACTGAAAATTATATATCATAAAGATTCTTATAAAGATCGAACATTTTCTCAATATACGATTACTATGAAGATTTGTTTTTCAAAAAATTTAGCGATACGAAATCGTTTAGAGATATACACATTAATGTCATTTGAGAGATAAAGAAATACATATTAGAAATAGTGAATAGAATGTTAAATTTATTTTTTGTATGAATCATTTTCATAATTCTTTTCTTGTTTTTCATTAAAATTTATACGCAATTTATCATTATTCATCTTAAATATATTCTTGTTTATTGTCAAAAACATAATAACATGTATATTGTGCTTGCTTGTGATTGGTTAAACATTAAATAAAAAAATAAGGTATTTAAATACGCTTTTGCCTTGAGTTTGGATTGATGGCGTAAGCCTTAATAATACAGGCTTCGTAGCGACCCATCCTGAGGATATAGGAAAATATAGGATTTTAAAAGTAGTATTTATATAGGATTTTCATAATAATATAGGAAATATATAGGAATTTTTTTCTTCAGTAATACGCTTATAATAGACTTATATCAAACGTTGCTTAGTGCTCATAATATCATAACTAGCTATCTTACTCAAAGTTGCCAAGAAATCAGAAACAAATATACACTTTTTAATTACTGGAGAAAATATTTAAAAAGCTTAATTCGAAAATAATTAAAAGAAGATATGGTCTCAGTTGAATTTACTTAGGTCTGACCAAAAGTTCGTGCACTTTTAGAAAAAATATGAAAATAAGGAGATATGTTTCATTTTATTTTATCAGATGTTGAAGATAGTTGCCAGTATTATTCATATTAAGTTCGATCCTTTCTAACAATTTGTCAAAAGTTTTTTTTGAAGTCTTTTTCGAAAAAAAATTTTAAGTACCTTGGAGACCGCATGAATTAATCATGTTTCATATCTTTTAAAAATTTAGCGAAATTTAGTTGAATCATGCCAATTGCGTTCTAGCATTACTAGTAATGGGATATCGATTTATTTTATATAGGTTATTTATAAGTCATTTGATGCTAGCTGGCTTGTTGAAGATGAATCGTCAGAGACTATTGTTCATGCAGATAAATTTTAACCCAAACTTTGTTTGGTATATTCTTTAAATCAAATGGTCCTGTTTTTATACATTGTGTAGATAAAGTCAAGACTGTAGGTCACAAGTATGATACTGAAAATTATCTGAACCCTTTTGTCAATGAAATATGGAAACAAACTCAGACATCAGGTTAAAAATATACAAAAATGATTAAAGACCATCGCTGACTTCATACTCATCCACTATCATTATTTATATAACAGAAAAGACATAAATATAATCTCATATCCATCACATTCGCCAGGCCTGATACTATGTAATTTTTGGCTAACTAATTCTATCGAACGTAGTTTAACTGATTAAATAGATGAAACATGATTAATTCATGCGATTCTCAAGTTACCTAAAATTTTTTTTCGAAAAAGACTTCAAAAAAAACTTTTGACAAATTGTTAGAAAGAATCGAACTTAATATAAATAATACTGGCAAGTACCCTCAACATTTGATAAAATAAAATGAAAAATATCTCCTTATCTTTATATTTTGTTTTTAAAGTGCACGAACTTTTGGTCAGACCTAAGTAATGACATATGTACAGAAGCTCTGCGTTGCTGCTGATCGAGAAAATATATATTTCATTTGAAAAAGATAAATTTTTTCTAAATATAGGAAATATAGGAAAAATGCATGAAAAATAGGAATTTATAGGAGCATTTTTAAATATATAGGAAATATAGGAAATATAGGAAAAATGCATGAAAAATAGGAATTTATAGGAGCATTTTTAAATATATAGGAAATATAGGAAATATAGGAGGACTACGAAGCCTGGTCAGTGACTTAATAATAATCATAATGATGTATAAAGGTGAATAATAGTATTGCCGTATATAAAGGAGGATATTTTATGTGTAGATTATTTATTGTAAAGAAAAAATAAACGTATACATCAATATGGAACGTGAAGGTGCTCCTGAACCAGGTTTTTTCAATGCTATTCGTCGTGAAGAAGGAAAAATTGAAGGTGAATTTCGAGATATAGAAAGAAGTCATGAACAACGTGAAGCTGATAAATATGAAAATCGTGCTGATAAATATGAGCGAAAAGAAGAAGAAGATTTCAATCAAGGACGTTTTCCATAAATATTTTCATTTTTATTTGATCAATTAATCAAGCTTTTTCATTTATAATTTATGTTTTATTCAAATTTTCAATAAAAAAGCTCTGAAATAAATGTCGTTTTACTTCCATCATTTTCCAATACAATAATATTGCGAATTTGAAATGTGTTTATTTTTATTTTGAAAAATTATAGCCACAAATATCAGAAAAATTGAAAAACTTTAGTATTTAGATGAGTTTTAACATTATTTTAGATTTTCTTAATAGTCATCGTACAGGTCAACTCTAAATAATAATCGTAAACACATGTAGATAACAAGTGGTTTAAAGGCATATATAGAATATAGAGAAGTACTTCAAGCACTAACATTAAAAATATTATAATGATAAATAGATTCGAATCATATCTTGCAATTATATCAAGTTATGGCCAAAAGAAAATGAATTTTTAATATCAATTTAATTATAATATCCATTTAATTATAATATCCATTTTGTTAATAGAGAATATAAAATACATATATATTATGTTTATATTTATTTTTCTTTCTATCATTGATGATTGAATAATAATCTAGAGAAAATAATATAAAAGCATATCATTTACTAGATATTAAACTTACGATTGTAGTAAGTTGTTTGATTCATAGTCTTATGTTGTATTTTTTTTGGTTTCTTCGCAATTAAATAAGAAATTAAGCAATTTACAAATGTGAAAAAGAAATGTTAATACAATAGTTGATATTAATAATAAGGGTAGTATTATTAAAAAAATGTCATGTTTATTATATGGATACTTATTTTAATGATATTTAAGTAATTTTCGTTATATTATGTTATTACGTATAACGATTTTTTGTTTGCACTGAATTCCATTGAATCGATTATTCTCTTTCTCGTAGAGAAGAGTCCAGTAAGAATAAATTGTTTGCTTGCTTGCTTGTCTGTCCGCAGGGTCAAAAAAACATTGAAAATCGATTTTCAGGAAAAGACATTTCTAGAAGTATTTCGATGCGGGGAGTTCGAATTTGAGGTCTGTTAAGTGATCACGATGAGTGGATGGGTTAAAGGTCAAAAAAACATTGAAAACCGATTTTTCGAAAAAGACATTTCTAGGGGTTTTTCGATACGGGGAGTTCGAATTTGAGGTCTGTTAGGTGATCACGATGAGTGGATGGGTGAAAGGTCAAAAAAACATTGAAAACCGATTTTTCGAAAAAGATATTTTTATAGGTTTTTCGATACGGGGAGTTCGAATCCGAGGACTATTGGGTGACCGTGTGGAGGGACAGGAGTGAAGAGGGGTCAAAGATCAAAAAAACTTCGAAAATCGATTTTTCACGGGTTTCATTTATTTTTTGAGTAAATATGAAGAAAATAGATTTGTACGAGAAAGAGCTAAGCGAATCTCCGAATGAGCGTTACTTGTGTTATTACGTGTAACGATTTTTTGTTTGCACTGAGTTCCATTGAATCGATTATCAATCAATCTAAAATCAAGTTTCCATTTTCTTAAATTTACATAATGAGTGAAAAGGTGATATCACTATACGTTGTCCGATTGGACGATACAAATTAATTCTTTATATGCAATCATCACAAAGAAATCATATTCATCTGTCTGATCTTTGTTTGTTATCTATAAATATATGAGTTTCTGCTGTTAGTATCAAAATAAAAAATGAGTTATTCTAAGGTAAATTGTTAAATAAATCATGTTTTTCTTTCAGATTTATAGGTAATATCGATCGTATATTTAAATAATATTAATCTTACATTTAAACAGTATTATTGTTCATACACAGATTTAAAATGGCGAGCTCTAGTCATAATAAATCTTTAAAAATTAGAGAAGAAAAAGAAATAAATATATTCAAAAATAAAATAATATTTTTTTAAAAATTCATTGTTTTTTTTAGAACAATCATGAAGAAAATAAAGACGAAACAATAAGGAATTTGAAGCAACAAGTGGTCAACTTGACGGAACAAGTGACTATACCCAGGTCGATTATTACGAACTTCGTAAACGATTGAATACGACCGTATCCAGAAAAAATACGACCATATACGATCGTATTTCACCGTTTTCTGCCGTATTACCTGCGGCCGTTTTACGATCGTATGTCTCCGTATCGTATACGGAAAAGTATGATCGTTTACGATCGCGCTTGTTTGACCTGGGTAATCTCAAAAGCTGGCTCGAAAAATATGTGAAAACAATCGAAACGATGGATACAAAAATCAACAAACTGGAAATGGAACTTGACAAAGAACGGAAAAAAAACGTGGAAATTGCCTCATCGGACTCTAATTCTCCACCATTAATCAAAAGTTAAATAATGGTTATAATAGGACAAGTCCCATGAATTAATGTGTTATTTTTTTTTATACAATTGATATATGTTTTTTTTTTTTTTTTTTGTTATCTTATTATTCATCTTTATGTATACATTTCTTGTTGTTAATTTTCGCGCAGCAGAATGGTTCCATATCTTGGTAATATTATAGATTAATAAATATTAGATTATATGTACAAAATGACGATGTTGAGGTTGTTTTATGATGTACTCGTTGAAGAAAAGCTGGTATTCGTTTGTTGTACGTCGGAATGATCATTTGGAAAATTGTTCAAATAAAAATGAAAATAAATATATACCTGTTATCTAATAAAACTGATAGAAAAATATTCAAAGAAAAACTATTAAAGAGTGAATATTATGTTGTACTTCGATTTATTACCATGTATACTCTCAAGGAAAAGTACAATATTATACACTGAATTCACATATACCGTTAAAAATAGTTAATGATCAGTATCAACAAAAATCCATAGTCAAAATCGTGTTTTTGCGACACTTCTTGCATTAAGCATCATATTAATAATCTATCTTATAAATTAATTTTCAAGAAAAAGGCGCTATTATATCATTTGCATTATTTATAACAATGAGTGAAAGTATCAATGAACGTGGTTCCCTTTCAAGTGATATTGGTGAAATAGAGATTTCTACGGATGATACAGAATTTGAAGATCAACGATTCCGGTTTTTTCTATCATATCTCAATATAGTTTTTGGTACAACACCAACAGTATTTAAAACAGGTGTTTTTATTTTTAGTCTAAAATTTTAAATAATAAGATTTATTTCTAGCAATTCTTAACAATGAAATAAATCGTAAATTAATTGAATCGTTTCTTGATAAATCTGATCGTAATATAATACTTATTTTTGAAAATTCTGATTCATTAAGTATTTTAACTGAATTTCCAATTGAAATTAAATCGAAAATAATTTGTTTTATTAAACGAAATGAAATGATTATTGAAAATGATATTCCATTAAAAAAACAAATTGCTATTGCAGAATTTACACATTCATCTATGACACAATTACATTTATTTATATCTGAAGTAGATTGAATTAATTTAAAAACAAAAAAGGAATTAAATATTTTTATAGATTTTATGGCCTATATTACAACAACGAAAAATAATATCTGATTGGCCTGATATTGTCATTCGAAATTGTATACAAAATGTATCGGAATTAACTAATTTATTAACAATAGTAAATGGAATACTTCGAGGACGAACTATCTTATCAATACCTCATGAAATTGAATTTTTATCAAGATCTGATTATCTTCGTGTACTTAGTCAGTAAGAAGAAATTTTTAATCTCGATAGTCATTATAAAATAAGTCGAAGAGATGTTTATTTTAAAGTTAAAAATTGAGTCTATATTTCAAATAATACGAAATAGAACTATGATGAAGTCTATTATCAACGTTTTCGTTCATAGTTTTATGATAATAGCTCTCGCCAATCTACGGTATACTTGAGAGCAAAGATGACTGATCTATTTATAATTTTTTTAACTTCATTCATTAATCAAATAATTTATTTTATATTAGAAATAAAACATTTGATAATCGAAAAATTCGTTTATTAGAAAATCTTATAATGACTTGGAAAAATCAAATTCAAACAGCAATTAATTATAATTCAGATCCACCAAAAAATCAATATAATCTATTACCTAATATTGAAATCGACTTTTGGATTGCAAGAGCAGAAAATTTACAAGGAATTCAAACGCAAGTATGTAAAAAATTAAGAAAAAAAAATAATTAATAATAAAAACAAATTGAATAGATGCATTCATCAATAATTCGACGTCTTGTTGAAATTCTTGAAAATTCTGGATCGAATTATTTCTCTGCATTTCGTACAATATTTCGTGATGTTATTCAAGCATTAGCGGAAGCACAAAATATTGCTTTATATTTAAAACCACTTGTATCCATATTTGAATTAATTGAAAAAGTTCAAAATATTGAATCATTATCATTATATTTTGATCGATTATTTCATACAATAGCTTTAGTATGGGCTAATTCAGTTTATTATACAAATATAAACCGATTTATTGGATTTTTACAACAATGGACAAATTTGATTATTTTAAAAGTAAAAGAATCTTATAATAGATTAAAATAATTGATTTTATAGATACGTGATCTACTTCAACCGAATGATTTATTTGTTGAAACAGATTTTGATGAACCTATTCAATTGATTAATTTAGCACTTGAAACATGTTTATTATATAAAAAATCTTATCAACATTATAAAGTATTATTACCAACGTATTTTAATGATCGTCAGGTTAGAGTTTATCTAACAAGGGAAGGTCCCGCGGTGTGGTCCCGAGTTAAAGGCTGATATTACGTGGGTTTGCTACACTAAGTGCCCTGATATCAAATGTGAAACAATGATCGGCTGCGGCCGGACCACTGAAAATAGTACTCAAAATATTCTGTCGCTGTTTCATGTATATAGGATGTCTTTTTAGTTTCTACACAGCTCAAGCACGTACTCAAAGATGATACAGATACTTATGGTTAGGACTGAATATTTTTCAACATAGAAATTCATTTTATCGAGTTTCGAGACTGAAAAGGCATCCTATATACATGAAATAGTGACAGAATATTTTGAGTACTATTTTCAGTGGTCCGGCCGCAGCCGATCATTGTTTCATATTTGACATCAGGGCACTTAGTGTAGCAAACCCACATAATATCAGCCTTTAACTCGGGAACACACCGCGGTACCTTCCCTTGAAAGTCTCGTTGTTTAATTGATCATTATTTTATTAGATCCGTTATTGGGAAATTCCAGAATCAAAAATTTTTGAACGATGTGATCATTTTATTGATCGTATTAAAATGCTAAAAGCAAGATAAATTCTATGAAAAATAAATGTATTTGATTGTTTTTAGGATATAATATCAACTGTACAAGAATGTTCTATATATGAATTAATTGAATTAGGTGGTATTGATGCAGATGAATTACAAACCATTTTACAAAGAGTTCATGGAGATATTAAATCAGCGTATGCTGTATTTCGTGGTAAAATAGAAATGTAAAACGTTTTTTTTTGAATAATAACATTTCATATAGGTTTATCTGATGATATTACAAATGATTCTAATCTTGAATTTCCTAATGCTTATAAGACATTTTGTAAAATTGTCTTAACTAGTGATGAACGTATTGCAAATATTTTACGTCGCTATTTTCAACCGTGTAACAGTGATATTAAAACAATTAATATTGATAATATATATCGAGTTTGTTTACAACTAATGTAAACATATTAATAAATAAATTAAATTTAGTTACTTCGTATTTTTGGATCAACTCTAAAAAGAAATCGACTTAAAATTGTTATTAATGAATATACATCTACACTTTTGAATATAATTGAAAATATTTTGAATGAAAATCAAACACTATTTGATGAATATACAAAAGATTCACAATCAGCATGGTTATTATCAATGCCAAAATTAATTTCTGATTATACATTTATTGAACAATTACGTCAACGTATTAAAAATCAAATAGAACCTTTAAAAACAATTGATATTAAGTAAAAAAACGTTCTTCTTCTTTTTATTTATTTATTATTTTAATAAAATAATTTCAGTATTAAAGATAATGATATTTATAAACGACTATTAGAACAAGAAAAGAATTTCCAGAAAAAATTAGATGATTTCATTGAAAATACAAACAAACAATGGATTGATTCATTTATCAAAGAAAATCTTCTTCATCTAAATGAACCACTTCTTCGAAAAGAAGATAAATATTATATTGTTAATATTCAACCACAAGTAATTGCGAAAATCTATGCTTTATAAAATTTATTTTTCTTATAGCTTGTTACAGCTTTACAAGAAGTCATGCGTCTTTATCAAATACCATATTTTATACATTCATCAGACACTGAAGAATTCTATCAACATATAGATCGATTTCAACAACAATTTATTAATCTTGGTAAAATTTTAATTTTAATAAAATTAATAAATGATTTTATCTTAAGATTATATTACAAAATCATACGGACATATCTTTGATAGTATTCTTATTATTGAATATCCATTAATTCGTGATGAATTAACTATAATTGAAAATGATTTAGAAAAAGCGAGTACAATAATGAAATTAGATATTAATACAGGTATGTTTTTATAAAATCAATTTATATCAATTAATTTTCTTAAGATTCTACTGAGTTTATTCGTCATCTTCGAGTACGAATAAGTGATTTTGAAGAACGTTTATTTAAAAGTAAATCGAATTTGGACGATATGCAAAAATTACTCAAACGTTTTATTAAATCTGCATTATATTCTCGCGGTGAAATTCGACAAGATCCATTACTTATAGTTTATGAAAAAGAAGATAAAGTATTCAAAAGAAATAATGAATTAACAGATGTTGGTTTACGTTTACAAGATATTCTTAAAGTAAGATAAATACATTTCAAGTTGATGATCATGATTTAGTTCGATTGGTCGGCAATTCTGAATTTTGAAGGGCGTGAGTATGGGTGTGGGTGTGGGTGTTGGTGGGTGGGCGCGTGTATGGTTGAAGACTTCGGTGTTCATCAGTCAACTCGCATCCACCTTTCATCTATAGACTAAAATCGAGAAAACGCGGAGTTTTGAATCTTCGACAACACTTACCGTTTGACTAAATTGTATTGATTTTAGCAAAATAAATGGTTATTAAAAGCTGATGCTGATTCTGATATGTGGAAATCTTATGTTGATTATGTTGATGAAATGATTATTGAATCACTTTATGAAATAATTGAATATAATCTTAATTATCTTCTTGAAGAATCTGATCCTACACTTAATAAACGTCCATTATTTGAAGTTCAACTTATATTAGATGTAAAGAAGATTTTTATTTTTATTTTTTTTAAATTTTTTTTCAAGGATCTTGATTTACGTTTTAATCCAACACTTGAATTTGGTAGTACAAATGGTCTTTATGATATAGTTGATACATTAATAGGTAATATCTTTCGACAAGCTGCTATGCTTCCTCGTCTTGCTGAACATTCTGGACAAAAACATTATCAAGTAATGCAAAGAATATTTTTATAAACATATAAGAAATTTTTTTTCATAGAATGATTTAGAAGAAATGAAAAATTTAAATGATAAACGATTAAAAATTATGGAACGATTACGTGATACAATGAAAGAAGCAAATGATTGGAAAGATGAAGTAGAAGAAAATTCATATTTATGGCTTGATGATAGAAAAGAACATATGAGACAATTTCTTCTTTATGGTCGTTTACTTGAAGGTAATTTTGATTTACTTTTTTTATTTCGAAATAAAATTTAAAATTTACAAGATTATGAATTAGAGAATGTTGAACAAATTAAAGAAAATCCACCAAATTTAATTCAATTTCAAAATGAAATCGATTTATTTCAATCAATTTATAACGATATTGATAACTGGAATCAGACCTTTCTTTTTAATAGTTGGTTAAGAGTTGATGCTCGACCTATTAAACGACAATTACTTACACTTGTTACTAAATGGATTAATCTGTATGATTATTTCTTTTGTCTTTTTTTTTGTCTTTAATTAAAATTCCATATATAGATATAAAAATTATTTAATTGATCATATAACTATTTCATTAAATGAATTACAATTATTTATTAAACATGCAACAGATATGCTTCAACATCCAGTTAATTCCGATAATTTAAAAGAATTAATTGATATGATGACATTTCTAAGTCAAGTACGTGCTCGACAAGAATATACAGATGATATGGCTGAACCAATTAAAGATATAATTGAACTACTTAAATCTTATGCATATGAAGTACCACAATCTATTTATGCTATGTTAGATGAATTACCAGAACAATGGATTATTATTAAAAAAATGGCAACACAAATGAAACAACAAATTGCACCATTACAAGCAAATCAAGTTACTAATATTCGTAATCAAATTATTGATATGGAAAAAAAACAACAAGAATTAAGAGATAGATTTTCAAAAGATGCACCATTTAAATATAATACAAAAGAACCTTATGTGGGTAAGAATTTCAAAGGAGATATTTTGACGAGAATTAGATATTTGTGAAACGCTCTCAGTTTGAAAAACATCGGGTATGGGTGTGAATGCCGGTATAGAAAGAATTCACGCGAAGGGGAAACAGCTGATTATTGGATTAGATATCTTGAGGGTGCGGATGTGAGTCTGATTATTCTTTTTATTCACACACCCATCCCGTCTCTTAATAATGATTAGGAGTGATTAGCGGTTACCTAATCACCTGTTTCCCCCTTGATTCACATCCAACCTCAAGATATTTACATTAAAATATTTTTTTATATGGATAATTAATTCTAGAACTTAATTATTGGGCAACACAGCTACGTCAATTTGATCACGAAGTTCAACAATTAACTGATCTTGCTCGTATATTTGATATTAATGTTCCTGAATATAAAATGTAATTAATCATCTAATTTTTTTATACATAAAAGATTCCTTAATTAAAACTAATACTGAAGAATTAGAGATAGATATTTTCGCTCACTATCTCTGTGATTCTAACAGTTATTTTTTTGATCTAGTGTACAGATATGTCGTAAAGAAATGCGTCCATTAAAACAATTATGGGATTTGATTTATTTAATTCGTTCACGTATTGATAAATGGACAAAAACTCCATGGAAACAAGTGAATATTGAATTAATTGATCAAGAATTACGACGAACTTACTTAAATAAAGAATTACGTTTACTTGGTAAAGAATGTAATCAATGGAATGCATATCATGAAATTGAAAAAGATGTTAAAAATCTTCTTGCATCATTACGTTCAGTAGGTGAATTACGTAATAATGCTATAAGATTACGACATTGGGAAGAATTAATGAAAGAAACAGGAGTTGAAATTGATATGAATGATGAAACAAGTCTTGAAGATTTACTTGGTCTTAATTTACATAAATATGAAGATGAGGTCTTTTTTTTCTATCAATTTAGATATCTGTATGAAAAAATTAACTTTTTAGGTAAAAACTATTGTTGATAAAGCAACTAAAGAACAGGGAATGGAAAAAATCTTAACTGACCTTGAAAATACTTGGTAACATTCATTTTCTTCGTTTTTCATAAAATAAATACATATATATTAAGGTCAAATATGAATTTTCAAATTGAAAAACATCCACGTACAAATGTAACACTTGTTTCAATAGATGATGATATTATTGCTGCATTAGATGAACATCAAACACAATTACAAACATTACTTTCATCAAAATTTATATCACATTTTATTGATAATGTTATTACATGGAAAAGTAAAATGTCTACAGCGGATATGGTTTTACAATTATTAACAGATGTACAACGTAATTGGTCAAATTTAGAAGCAATTTTCATTGGTACTGATGATATTAGAATACAATTACCACAAGAAACAACAGCATTCGATAGAATTGATAAAGAATTTAAAGTTAGTTTAATATCAACTTTGATCTCATTCAAATACCTATCTATGAACTATATTTATAGATAATATCAGAAGAAAATGAAGCTGATTTAAATTTTATTCGTTGTACTAATCGTTCTGGTTTATATGAACAATTGGAGAAAATGAAAGATAATTTACAATTATGTCAAAAAGCATTGGAAGATTATTTAGGTTTGTTTCTATAATATTTTATTTATTATTTTAATTTTTGTTTTTAAATAGAAATTAAACGACTTGCATTTCCAAGGTAAATTGGAAATTCTTATAAATTGATATATATTATTCATTTCAGATTTTTCTTTGTATCTGGTTCGGAATTACTTGAGTTTTTATCAAATGGAAATGAACCTGAAAAAGTTATGCGATTATTAAAGAAAGTATTTGATAGTTTAAATAAATTAGATTTATATGATGATTCAAACGGAAATAAACTTAAAATGGCTTATGCTAGTAAATTTTTGTTAATATTATTACATTAGTTGTGCCAAAATAATTTCAGTGTATTCGGATGATGGTGAACGAGTGAAATTTTTTACTGATTGTAATCTTGAAGGTGCTGTGGAAATTTGGTTATCACGTTTATTAGATTTTCATTGTGAAACAATCAGAAATTGGTTAAGAGTTGCTGTTACTGCATACGAAGTATGTTATGTAATTATGAGAAATTGTAAAAGTTCGTATTCACAAAAAAATGGGTCCTGATACCTACACCCTCATAACGAATAAAAATGCTTTATTCTCTTTCTCGTAGAGAAGAGTCCAGTAAACATAAATTGTCTGATTGCTTTCTTGTTCGTCCGCGAGGTCAAAAATACATTCAAAGCCGATTTTTCACGGTTTTTTCAGTAAATGTGAAAAAGATTCATTTCTACGAGAAAGAGCTAAGCGAGTCTTCGGACGAGCGTTACTTGCCTAATAATACAATTTCATATAGGATAAATCTCGTGAAGAATGGATATTTGATTATCCAGCTCAAGTTATTCTTACTGCAAGTCAAATATGGTTAGTAGTTAAAATTAGTTTCATGAATTGTTTTTTTTTTGAAAAAATAATATTTAGGTGGACAACAGATGTCAATGGAACGTTTACTCGTATTGAAGAAGGTTTTTCAAATGCATTACGTGAATATAATAAAAAACAAATATCGCAATTGAATACACTTATTAATTTATTATTGAGTTATTTAAATGATCAAGATCGTGAAAAAATAACTACACTTTGTCTAATTGATCTTCATGCACGTGATGTTGTTTCAAAAATGCTTAATCTTAAAGTAAAATTATAGAAAAATAATTCACTTAGAGCAAAAATATTTATTTAGATTGAAAATAGTAATGATTTTACTTGGCAGTCACAATTAAGACATAAATGGGATTCAAAAGATAATAATTGTTATGCAAATATATGTGATGCTAGATTTAAATATCAATATGAGTGAATTGAGATTTTTCAATGGAAATATTAGTCTACAATATATTATAATATTTAGATATTTAGGTAATAAAAGTCGATTGGTTATTACACCATTAACCGATAGGTAATATAATATTTAGAAACTGTTTAATTCATGTACATGATTCAACAGAATTATTGAAAAAATAATATTACGTGAAATAAATGACTCGGTTCGAATCCGTCCTATTGCATTCTTTTACTTTTTTTTCTATTGATAAAATCATTCTTTTTTTATTTCGAATACACTTCGAAAGAAACAAAATAAGATAACAATCAATCATTCCTGTCGTCAGCATGGCCGAGTGGTCTAAGGCGCCAGACTCAAGCGTAATGCTTCCTCAGTGAGGTCGAGTGTTCTGGTCAGCGTATGCTGGCGTGGGTTCGACTCCCACTGCTGACATCTTTTTTTTTTAATGTTCATTTCATTTAATAAATCTTATTTTGTATCTATAGATGCTATATAACATTAACACAATCATTACATTTATTTGTTGGTGGAGCTCCTGCTGGTTTGTAGAATAATTCACAATAAAACTTATTTATAATATATTTTTGTTTTATTTTAGGTCCAGCTGGAACTGGTAAAACTGAAACAACAAAAGGTTAAAACAATCATTGTTTAATCAGAATAATTGAAATAAAAAGTTAATTTCCGATTAGATCTTGGTCGTTCATTAGGTGTATGTGTATTTGTTACAAATTGTTCGGAGCAAATTGATTATAAATCTATTGGTAATACTTTTAAAGGATTAGCAATGAGGTATAAATACATTCTATTATAATATTTTTCGTAACAATTAAATATTTATTCTAGTGGTTGTTGGGGATGTTTTGATGAGTAAAATTCTATAGTTTATTTTTCTTCATATTTAATTTTGTTTACTAAATTAGATTCAATCGAATATCAATTGCAGTTTTATCTGTCGTTGCTGTTCAAGTGAAACTTATATTTGTAAGAAATATATATACATATCATTGATTAATTTCTTATTTTTTATCTAAAGGATGCATTAAGAGCTAAACGTAAAATATTTAATTTTATGAATACGGAAATTAAACTTCATCCGTCTGTTGGAATATTTATTACAATGAATCCTGGCTATGCTGGTCGAACTGAACTACCCGAAAATTTAAAAGCTTTATTTCGGTAAAAATTTAAATAATATAAAAATTTTTTTCTTTTGGAATTTAATAATTAGACCATGTGCAATGGTTGTACCAGATTTTGAATTAATTGGTTTGTTTTATAAAAATATATTTGTTAATAAAAATTCTCTTTTTATATAGCTGAATTAAATCTTGTATCGGCTGGATTTACCGATGCACGTTTATTAAGTCGAAAATTTGTTACATTATATACATTATGTCGAGATTTATTATCAAAACAAGTTTGTCTATTATAAAATAATAATTCTATTTTAAGAAAACATAAATTACTTAAAGGAACATTATGATTGGGGGTTACGTGCAATTAAATCAGTACTGGTTGTAGCTGGAACATTAAGACGCGCTGATCCAGAAATGAGTGAAGATAAAGTACTGATGAGAGCATTACGAGATTTTAATATACCAAAAATAACTGTCGAAGATATGCCTGTTTTTCTTAATCTTATTGGTGATTTATTTCCAGCATTGGATGTTGAAAGAAAAAGGTATAAAATATTTCATCACTTATTAAGTTAATAATCTTGACAATAATTAATTTAAATAAGAAATCAAGATTTTGAAAATAATGTTCGAGAAGCTGCTATTGATCTTCGTTTACAAGCTGAAGAAGCAAGTCCAACAGCACAAAATAATTTTGTACTTAAGATAATTCAATTAAAAGAAATATTTGATGTACGACATTCAGTATTTATCATTGGAAATGCTGGCACAGGTATTATAAAAATGACGATTTTGTTCAGATAATGATGATGAAGTTTTATTTTAAGGTAAAACACAAATTTGGAAAACATTATTCAAAACTTATCAAAATATGAAACGTCGACCACATGCTATTGATCGTAAAATGATGATAATACTTGAGAAGAAGGAAAAAAGACCTGCTTTATTTTTTTTAGTGGATCCTAAAGCTGTCACTAATGATGAATTATTTGGTTATATGCATCGTCAAACACGTGAATGGAAAGATGGATTATTTTCAAATATAATGCGAGATTTAGCTAATATGACATCGGATTGTAAATATTTTTTTTCCTCAATAGAATAAATATTCTCTTTTTTTCAAAGCTCCTAAATGGATTGTACTTGATGGTGATATTGATCCAATGTGGATTGAATCATTAAATACAGTTATGGATGATAATAAAGTACTTACATTAGCTAGTAATGAACGTATTCCATTGAATGAAACAATGCGTTTATTATTTGAAATAAGTCATTTAAAAACAGCTACACCAGCAACAGTTTCACGTGCTGGAATTTTATATGTATCAACAAATGATATTGGTTATTCACCTGTTTATGTTAGTTGGGTTGAAAAACGTGAATCAAATAGTGAAAAAAATCATCTATTATTATTATTTGATAAATATATTCCACGTTGTCTTGAATTACTTAAAAGTGGACGTGTAAGAACAATTACGCCATTAGTAGATGTCTGTCATATACAAATGTTATGCAATATACTTGGTTAGTTGATATTGATTTTGAGGGTGGGTGTGGGTATTACATTAACCTTAATCTGATACCCACCCACACCCACACCCAAGATTCTATTCGTATCTAAGTATCTGTCCAGATCTGATGAAGTCATTTTTCATTTAAATTATAGATTGTCTATTAACACCACAAAATGTGCCTCCTGATTGTCCAAAAGAATGGTGGGAATTATATTTTGTATGGGCAACTATATGGGCTATTGGTGGTTCACTTTTTCAAGATCAAATGATTGATTATCGAATTGAATTTTCTAAATGGTTTATTCATGAATTTAAAACGATTAAATTTCCTCCTCATGGTACTGTTTTCGATTATTCAATTGAACCTCAATCAAAACGATTTGAACCATGGTCTAAACAGCTTGATGAAATTAATTTTAATCCTGAATTACCTGTTCAAGTAGCATTTTTTAACTTGTCTTTTATTAATAATATTTTCTTCTTCAGTCACAATTGATTCCTACAAGTGAAACTGTTCGTTTATCATTTTGGCTTGATGCACTTGTCAAAAAAGGTGTTTCAGTAATGTTTGTTGGTTCAGCTGGTACTGGTAAAAGTGTTATTATTACAAATCGTGTAGAAAAATATAATTTACAAAATTTTATGATTTCAACAATTCCATTGAACTGTATAATTTCAAAAATTCAACTATGTTTTATTAAACTATGACATATTTTTAGATTATACAACAAGTGAAATGTTACAAAATTCATTAGAGAAACCTTTAGAAAAGAAAGCTGGTCGAACATATGGAGCACCAGAAAATCGACAATTGATTTATTTTATTGGTAAATTTTCTTGATCTGACGAGGAACACTATTTAGGTGGTACACTGCGATTCCAATCATTCATATGCCATTTGATAGACTATAGTGAGGTAGTGAACGGCCAAAAATATTATCGGCCACCAACTCTTTCTTGAGATGCTATAGTCATTTTATTGAAATTTTAGCCTATGACATGGTAGCTAGCACAAAGTTGAATGTCGATATTTCGATCGGAAATTTTGTCCATAGGTAGGTCTAGCTATAAATAGACTATCCTAAAAAATTCAGCTCAAAAGAATATTCTCTTCGTGAGATATTGCATTCTCAAAAAAACCATAACATTCTACAGTCTTTCCTCAACATAAGACTAATTTTGTAAGTATCATATCTCACGAAGAGAATATTCTTTTGAGCTGAATTTTTTAGGATAGTCTATTTATAGCTAGACCTACCTATGGACAAAATTTCCGATCGAAATATCGACATTCAACTTTGTGCTAGCTACCATGTCATAGGCTAAAATTTCAATAAAATGACTATAGCATCTCAAGAAAGAGTTGGTGGCCGATAATATTTTTGGCCGTTCACTACCTCACTATAGTCTATCAAATGGCATATGAATGATTGGAATCGCAGTGTACCACCTAAATAGTGTTCCTCGTGAGTTTATAACTTCATTCAATATTTCTATTCTAATAGATGATTTTAATATGCCTGAACGTGATAAATATTTTACTGTCCAAGCACATACCATTGTTCGTGAATATCTTGATTATCAACATTGGTATGATCGACAAAAATTAACACTTAAAGAAATTCGAAATTGTCAATTTATTATTGCAATGAATCAGAATGCTGGAACATTTTCTATTGATGCTCGTCTTCAACGACATTTTGCAACATTTGCTGTACCTTTTCCAAATAAAGTTCGAATTAATTTCTAATTGAAAAGAAATTATAAAATACAAAATTCTTATTTAGAATACACTTCATACAATTTATTCTAAAATGCTTGAAACAAAATTTTTAAATTTCAATAAAATTGATGTTAAAACACAAACAAATTTTCTCAGTCAATTTATTTCTATAGCTATACAATTTCATCAACGTGTATCGAGTATATTCTTACCAACAGCTATTAAATTTCATTATCTTTTTAATCTACGTGATTTATCAAATATTATACAAGTAATCGAATATGTTTTTTTTTGTATAAAAAATAGATATTTAATTGATTGTATTTTAAGGGGATGTTATTTGCTTCATCAAAAGATATTTTACATCCTAATGATTTAATACGTTTATATATACATGAAGCTGAAAGAACTTATTCAGATAAACTTATTAATCAAGATGAAATTGATTTATTTAATAAAATTTTACGGGAAACTATACGAAAAAGTTTTGAAGTATTGTTATCTATAGTATTTGTTTATTATAGAAGAAAATTTACTTTTTCATAGTTTGTAAATGATGAAACATTTGTTCGACCACTTATTTATTCACATTTTTCTGGTGGAATCGGTGATGGACAATATACAGCTGTATCATCTATGGATAAATTACAAAAAATAATTGAAGAAGCATTAGTATCATACAATGAAACAAATCCTGCAATGAATTTAGTATTATTTCAAGATGCTCTTATACATGTTGCTCGTATTAATCGTATTCTTGAATCACCACGAGGTATGTAACAATTAGAAAATCTACCAATCAATAGATATTATTTTTATGTCACACGAAAAATATTTGATCGTTGAATAAAAGTGATTGACTTGAGAGTGGGTGCAGCATAAAGAATGATACCGTCAGTGTTTGAGATGATAACTCAGTAATATTATGCGCAACGAACAACTACTTTCCAACTAAATACGGAACCGTTCTAATGTTATTTTTTCTATGTTCTGTAACACGCATTTGTTCGCAACAGTCGAAGTAACTTGTTAACCATCTTGAGGGTGTGGCAAGGGGGAAACCACGTACTCCGAGTACTTGGGGAGTGCATGGGAGTATACGAAGATGTGGGTGTGGGGTGGGCAACGGAGAAACCACGTACTCTCAAGTACTCCACTGTACTCTCGTACTCCGGGAGCACGTAGCAGTAGATGGGAGTACGTGATTTTCCCCTTGGGGTGTGAGTATGCACTCGAAAAGAGTATAAGACCCTCACCCACTCTATACCGCATACGATATTTATTAATGTTCTAAATTTGGGAATATTTTCACGTCTATAATCTTCAGATGTCACAATTTTTTTTATTAGGCAATGCATTATTAATCGGAGTTGGCGGTAGTGGAAAACAATCTTTAGCTCGTTTAGCAGCATTTGTTTCTTCACTTGATATTTTTCAAATAACAATTAAATCAAATTATGGAATGAATGATTTTAAAAATGATTTAAATAATCTTTATCGTCGTGCTGGTTTAAAAGGTCTTCCATGTGTATTTCTTTTATCTGATAGTCATATTAAAGATGAACATTTTCTTGTTTATATTAATGATTATTTATCATCGGGTGAAATTTTTGGTTTATTTACTGATGATGAAATTGAAGAAATTCTTAATTCTATACATTCAGAAGCTAAATCTCAAGGATATAATGAATCAAAAGAAACTATTTGGAAATATTTTATTGATAAAGTTCGACGAAATCTTAAAATAGTTATGTGTTTTTCACCTGTCGGAAATACATTACGTACACGTGCACGTCGTTTTCCAGCATTATTTAGTGGAACAATTATTGATTGGTTTCATTCATGGCCAAGAGATGCACTTTATTCCGTTGTTGTTCGTTTTCTTGATAGTTTCAAATCAATATCAAATGAATTACGTTATTCTATCGCTAATTTCATGTCTGATACACATATTGATGTTAATCAAACATCAATACAATATTTAATCAATGAACGACGATCTTATTATACAACACCAAAAACATTTCTTGAATTTATAAAATTTTTCCAACATATCTATGAAAATAAACAAATGAAAATTGAACTTGAAATTGTTCGTCTTCTATCTGGATTAGAAAAACTTAAATCAATATCTGCACAAACAGCTATTTTACAAGAAGACTTAAAGATTACAACCGAGGAAGTTAATACAAAGGCGGAAAAAGCGGATATTGCATTGAAAATAGTTACTGCAGAAGCAGAAAAAGTTGCTAAAGAAAAAGTTTGTTTTTAAAAATTGAATTAAACAATATCTGATTCTAAAAAATTTAGTCATTTGCTGACGATGAACGTCGAAAAATTGAAACAAAAAAAGCAGCTGTTGAAAAAGTACAAGCTGCTTGTGCAATAGAATTGTATATATACATTTAAACGAAATTTCGTATATATATGCTTAAATATAGAGCTAAAGCAGAACCTGTTCTTGAAGCAGCAAGATTAGCACTTGAGAATATTGAAAAAGGACAATTAACTGAATTGAAATCATTTGCATCACCACCCGAAACAGTTAAATTTGTTATGAATATGGTTGGTAAGTTAATATGAAATACTATTTTCAAATTATTGAAATTTACTTCTTTAGTTGTACTTTTCAAATGGGTTGATGAAGGCCGTATTATTCCTGAAAGTCAACGAACATGGACGGAAGCAAAAAATACAATTGGACCCGTTGAAAAATTTCTACAACGTTTAAAAAGTTTTCAAGTCGCTAAAGTATTGTCTCTTACTTTATCTATCGGATGATATATATATTTTATTTTAGGTTACTCCACAAGTTCGAGCTATTATTGATAAATTGAATACAACATTGATGAAAATAAGTAAAACAGATAGTATTGAAAGTTTGATTCAACAAATAGCAGTTAAATCAGCAGCAGCTGGTGGAATTTATACATGGCTTGATAGTAAAAAAATCAAATTTTATTCTTTCTACTATTGAAATCTTGTACTAATTAGATACATTGAAATTTCATACAGTTTATTTGGAAGTTAAACCGAAACAAGTAGCTTTAGATGTTGCTAATGAAGAATTAAATCGAGCACAACAAGCTTTTTCAAAAATTCTCAATCGTGTACAAATACTTGAAGATTGTCTTACAGAAGAAAATCTTAAAATGCAACGTGCACTTGCTGAAAAAGATGATGCTGTTAGAACAAAAGAAAGATTAGCACGACAAATTGATTTAGCTGAACGTCTTGTTGATGGTCTTGCATCAAGTCGAATTATTTGGACAAAACGTGTTGAAACATTTAATCATGATCTGGAAACTTTAATTGGTGATGTTCTATTAGCATCAACATTTATTTCATATGCGGGATATTTTTCGCGAATTTATCGAAATAATCTTGTGGAAAAATGGAGATCAACTATTACTGCTACTAAAGTAATTCTATACATTATTACTCGAATTATGTCAAACTCTTTAATAATATGATTAGGGAGTCATACCAATGAGAGCTAATCTACAACCATTATCAATTATGATCGATGATGCTGATATTGCAGAATGGTAAATCATATGGTAGTATACTTCGCCAAAAATAGATCATATTCTATTTCAATAGGATGAATCAAGGACTTCCAGCTGATCAAACATCTTATGAAAATGCTGCTATTTTAACTTATTGTTTACGATGGCCATTAATGGTTGATCCTCAAGGACAAGGACTTCGTTGGATTAAAAATTGTTTTACAGATAAATTAATTATACTTCGTTATAATAGTAAAGGTTATCTTGATCGTGTTGAAGCATGTGTACGTCGAGGTGATATTCTTTTACTTGAATGTATTGAAGAAAATATTGATTCAATATTGGAACCTATAATTAGTCGAAATTTAATACGTAAAGGACAAGCTGTTAAATTTGGTGATAAAGAAATTGATTATCATCCTAATTTTCGTTTAATAATGCAAACACGTTTAGCAAATCCACATTTTCAACCTGAAATACAAGCACAAACAACATTAATTAATTTTAGTACGACACGAGATGGTCTTGAAGCACAATTATTAGCTGAAATTGTTGCCGTTGAAAGACCGGATTTAGAAAAGAGTAAATTTGAAGTAACAAAACAACAAAATGAATATAAAATCAATTTAAAAAAATTAGAAGATTCATTATTAGCTCGTTTAGCAACTGCTGAAGGAAATTTTATACAAAATGTTGAACTTGTTGTTACACTTGAACGTACTGTTAATACTGCACTTGAAATTGAACAAAAAAAAGTCGAAGCAGAAAAATTTAGTCAACAAATTGATCGAACACGAGAATTATATCGACCAACAGCTATACGTGCATGTATCATATATTTTATTATGAATGATTTATCAAAAATTCATCTCATGTATCAATTTTCTCTCAAAGCATTTCGTGCAGTTTTTCTTAAAGCTATTGATCGTGCAGAACAAAATGAAGAATTACGTATACGAATTGATAATCTTATTGATGCCATTACATTTGCTTCATATTCTTATATTAATCGTGGTCTTTTTGAAGAACATAAACTAATTTTTACTATGCAATTATTATTACAGGTTAATAATAGAATACTGTAAAGTACTTACTAACAAAACGAGTCCTTGGTATGCTAGTGCAGTTTGCCAGAATTTCGCATCTTGAGGGTTGGGTGTGGGTGTGAGCGTAGGTGTGGGTGTGCACATTATCTTTATACCACACCCACCCACACCCTCCACACGAGCAACTGTCCTAAATCCGAGACTCTTTACTTTGATCAATAGAAGTCTCTGTTTTATTTATTATAATAGATTTTAATGGAAAAAGGTGAAATTGATATGATTGAACTTGATTTATTATTACGTAATCCACAAGAAACACATGCAGGAAGTCCTGTGGAATTTCTTAATAAAAAAGCTTGGGGTAGTATCAAAGCATTATCATTAGTATCAAGTTTTCATGGTCTTGATCGTGAAATTGAAACTTCAAGTAAACGATGGAAAAAATATGTTGAAAGTGAAGCACCAGAATTAGAAAAACCTCCAGTAAATATATTCAAAATAAGCATTATTTCCTTTTTAAAATACTTTCTTATTAGGGTGAATGGAAAAGTAAATCAACCATGCAACAATTATGTATTCTTCATGCTGTTCGACCTGATCGAATGCTTTATGCATTAAAGTAAAATATTCATTTTTTATTTACTAACCGATCGTAATCTATTTTCTAAAGATTATTTGTTGGCGAAAAACTTGGTAAAAAATATATTGAAAGTCGATCATCAGATTTTGCACATATTTATGATGAATCAACCAAATCGATTCCTATTTTTTTTATTCTTTCACCTGGTGTTGATCCATTAAAAGAAGTGGAAACATTAGGCAAAAAATTCGGTTATACATTACAAGCTGGAAAATTTCATAATATATCATTAGGACAAGGACAAGAAATAATTGCTGAAAATGCTTTAGAAATCTCAGCTAAAGAAGGTCATTGGATTGTTTTACAAAATATACATTTAGTACGACATTGGTTACCAATATTAGAAAGAAAATTAGAACGAATATTAGAAAATGCTCAAGAAAATTTTCGTCTTTTTATGTCTGCTGAACCAAGTGCAGATATGAATACACATGTAATTCCACAAGGAATATTAGAAAATTCTATTAAAATTACAAATGAATCACATACAGGAATGTTAGCTAATCTTCATAAAGCATTGGACAATTTCGATCAAGAAGTTTTAGATTCCTGTAGTAAAGATACTCAATTTAAAGTTATTCTTTTTGCTCTATGTTATTTTCATGCTGTTGTATCGCAACGAACAAAATTTGGGCCTATTGGTTGGAATAGGTAAAAAGAAGAAGGAATTTTTAATTCTTAAAAAACTAAAATCTCTCTATTCATTAGAAAATATCCATTTTCATCTGGTGATTTACAAATATGTATCGATGTTTTACGTAATTATCTTGAATCGAATGTTAAAATTCCTTGGGAAGATCTTCGTTATATATTTGGTGAAATTATGTATGGTGGACATATAACTGATGATTGGGATCGTCGTTTATGTCGTAATTATCTTCAAACATATTTGAATTCTACAATGTTTGAAGGTGATCTCAATTTGGCACCGGATTTTCCATTACCACCACCCTTAGATTATAAAGCATATCATGCTTATATTGATGATAAACTTCCAAGTGAATCACCGAAACTTTATGGACTTCATCCAAATGCTGAAATTGATTTTCTTTCACAAACAAGTGAAAAACTTTTTCGTATACTTATTGAAATTTCACCAAGAGATACAAATTCTATAAATCATGGACAAAATACAACATTATCACGCGATGAAAAAGTATCAATATTTGTAGTCAAAAACAAATCTATATATATATATATATGAATTAGATTCGAACTGTTCTTGAAGAATTTCAAAATCATATACCGGAAGATTTTAATATAGTTGAATTACGTGCAAGACTTGATGAACGTAATCCATATGCTGTTGTTGCATTACAAGAAGCCGAAAGAATGAATAATTTATTACGTGAAATTCGACAAAGTCTTAAAGAATTAGATGGTGGTCTTAAAGTTTGTTGAATTTCTTTTGTATTCTTTAAATCATATTTATTATCTAGGGTGAATTAGCAATATCAAATGAAATCGAAATTTTACAAGAATGTTTTTATCTTGATCTTGTACCTATTCAATGGGCTAATCGAGCTTATCCATCACTTTATTCATTAGGACTATGGTTTCATGATATGTTAAATCGTTATCGTGAAATAGATAATTGGATCGTAGATTTTCAATTACCAAATTCTGTATGGTTAGGTGGTCTTTTTAATCCTCAATCGTTTCTTACTTCAATTATGCAAGCAATTTCACGAAAACAAGACTGGCCACTGGATCGTATGTGTCTTATGGTTGAAGTTACGAAAAAACAAAAAGAAGAATTACAAAGTTCACCAAAAGATGGTGCTTATATTCATAAGTAAATAAATTCTTAATCAATTATTATAGAATATTTTTTTTTTGCTATACATTAGTTTATTTATTGATGGAGCACGATGGGATAAACAAAGTAATTTATTAGTGGAAGGAAAATTAAAAGAATTATGTCCACCAATGCCAGTTATATTTGTTAAAGGTATATTTATTTTTTAAAATAAAATTTTAAAATCAAGAAATAATTATTCTTCTAGCTATACCTATCGATCGATTAGATACGAAAGGTACTTATGATTGTCCAGTATATCGAATTAAAACACGAGGACATACATATATTTGGCGTTTTAATTTAAAAACAAAAGAAAAACCATCAAAATGGGTACTTGCTGGTGTAGCATTATTATTACAAACATAAAAAATAATTGACAATTCATTATTATTCTATATATAAAATAAAATACATAAATTAGTATTTGACATATCTATAGTTAGGAGACTTGTGAAAGGCAAGGACACATAACTAATATATGAACCTTGGATATTCAATATGAGTTAGTCTCGTGACAGCTTGAAGCGTAGTAATATAAGGAAAATATCCTTGAAATTGATACATTGTTGTATCAAAATAATGATAAAGAAAATAGAGATACAGCGAAGAATGTTAGAGTATATAAAAATAACTCAAGATCTTTATAATACTGCTGCTATAATAAAATAAACAAACATACACTAGTTGTAATCGTAGATGTTAGGAATATGTCAAGTAATCCGGAATAGAAATAAATCACCTTGAAAGGTTTTGTGGTGCGGGTGTGGGTAAGGATGTTGATGTGGAATAGGAGCAAACCATATCTATACGTCCATCACACACTTACACCCTGCTACAACGTTGACATCGATCGTGTCGCGCTTCTCGCTTCTGGTGACTTCAAAGAAATAAGCTCATCAGATTGTCTCTAATATTTCTACTTGTTATGTCTTTTATCATTAATAAAATCTTTCCGGATTACTTAGCATTACCGATGTTAGTAGTGATTGCAATATGACTTAACTCAATAATTGAAAAAAATAATTCATAGTCTAAATCTTCGAATTTCTTTTTATCATTATAAATCCGTATATATACATATCGTTCCATGTCGCTCAATTGCGATATGATCTGTCTTATATTTTTTTGCAAAAAAAAATATTTGTACAAAAAAGAAGAAAAAGAAAACAAAGAGAAATACATTAAATATCATGTGCAGTTATCAACGAAAAGAGAAAGTATTCGATTAATCTTAAATATAATGTTAGTATTTTTGTGTTCACATAAATGAATAGTACTCAATTAGTGCGCATATAGAGGACGGAAGAGTAAATAATAGTCAGAAGAGAATGAACATATAAAAAAAACGAAATCAAATTTTTTAAAATAATGAATATTGATTCACTGCAAAAAAGAAAATTTTGCTTGTCATTTTAATCTTTCTAATTATTTAATTCATCCATTTACGACAATTAACTGCACCACAATTACATGGAATTTTTGAATCGTCTTCAAAATCAAATTTATAATCATACATTAATTCTTCACCTTTTGAAATACGTCGATTTGTTATTATTATTATTTTATTATCTTTTTCAATTTGTACAACTTCAGCTATTGAATTTGGCTATTTTAATTAAATAAATAAAAATTAAATAATAAAAAAAGAAATTCTCTTTACTTCGCATGAATGATTTATATAACGAGCTAAACAGCCACTCATAGTTGCATCAACAACATAATCATCATCTAATCGAAACATATAAATGCCACGATTATGTTCTTCATATAATTTTTCTCGTTTATTCGCTACTTCATTACGAATTAATTCACCAATATATTCAATAACCATTGTATGTTTTTCAAGATCACGTGCGGCAAATAAACCTAAACCCTAAATAAATAAACATAGGTTAGATCATAGAAAATTCAAATATCAGACAATGGATTTCAACAGTATAATAAGATTCCATGCAGAGATGGGCAACTCCGAGGGTAAGCAACTCCAGCTATAAGTAAAAAAGCGTCAACTCCGGAGTTGAAGTTGCCCATCTCTGTATAGATATTTTTTGCTGTTCTCTTGCACGTTATGAGATCCATCGGAGTTCGAATAAGCACTAAAGCCAACTTCATTCCTACTTCATCTCATTTTTCGCAGCTCCACTTCAACTCCAGGTAAAAAAGCGTCAACTCCAGAGTTAACTCCAACTCCGGCGTTGGAGTTGCCCATCTCTGATTCTATGCTAGAGTTAATCAGAAAGTTCAAATCATTAAGTTTCTATTACTATCTATTTTTTGTACCAAAAGCAAACATGCTTCTATACTTATGGCAACATAATTAATGAGACTTGTTCGAATTATTTTAATTCTATTACTTACTTGAATTCGTGATTTAGCAAGGTAAGTATTCTGTCGCCATTCAATTTTTAATTTTCTATATTGAGTTGGTTTTGAAAGTACAAATTGTTTGAGATATGGTATTTGAGTAGCTAATACAAAAAAGAAATCAATTAAGTTTTAGTATATATTTCTTCTATTAATTTACTTTCAGCTCCAGGCACATTTCTTGCCTGTGCGGCGCTTCGACTTGAATGTGAACTTGTTAATGGGTGTGCATGTCTAAATATGAAATTATTAGAAAATTTAGTTGTAATTTTATAAATATTTTTACCGTCGAAAATGTGTTCGTAATGTTGGTTCACTTCGTGCACAACCTGTTGGATTAACAGTTAATGGCATATCAAATAATTGTAATCGACCATATTTAAATGCATAATTTTGTAACATTTCAACGCCTGGTAATGATTCAATTAAACGAATTATATGAGGTTCCTAATTTTTACAAAAAACAAAACAATTTTTCTTATTTAAAAAAAATAAATTTCTTTTACTGTTAATCCATATAAATCTTCTCCGTTAACAAATACTGGAAATATTTTAACAAGACCATGGTTTCTTCTTAATGAATCAATTTCATTAATAACTTTATGCCAAACAGCTTTTGCACTTGATTCAAGAAATTCTTCTATTTGTTCATCTTCATGTACACGTATTCGAAACATTGGTTTATTATCCATATCAATTATTGAACATATATATGCACAACGACGATTTGGATTACGCATAGACCAATAAAATCTTGTGATTGTATAACCAACCTAAATTTTTATTTCGTAAATAGAAATATTAATTTTAAATCAAAATAAAAACATACAGGATATACAAAATTTCGATTATGAAATACAGATGATTGTAATTGATGTGGTAATAATTGACCAATATTATGAAGAATTAAACTACCAATACGTAAGATATAAGATTTATCTTCATGTTCTTCATTCATATAACTAAACATAAAATATATAAGTAAGAAAAGACACGCTAATTATTTATAATAGATCTATAGTATCAGATACGTCTTGATGAGGGCGAAAGGTGTTTCGCAGTTGTGACTTCCGCGCATTCTTTATCGCTGAAACAGTGGCGGATTTAGGAGGAGGAAGCAATGAGGGCGATCGCCCCCCCCCCCCTCTTCAGAATTTTTTTTCGATTTTTTACAGCAAAACTGAACGAAAAAATAGGTTTTAGCCGAAATCGCCTCTCCCCCTTCCAAAATCCTAGATCCACCACTGCGCTGAAAAACCCGTCCGCTGATATAGTGTTCTCTCAACGGACACATATCGTACTGCACAATATATCTCAGGATAGAAAATTCGTTATTTTTCAACTTACTTCTGAATTTGTTTGATTTCATCTCTATTAATCCAAACTTTTCTAAGGACTGATTTGTCTTCTAGTATTTGATCATTAGCTGCTGTTTTCGATGCATGCATTGGACACATTACTGTCTTAAATAAATCAAATAGGAAATTAATTTATTATAAAAAATTGATTTATTTCTCATTCGCTTACTTTATCTTTATAAAAAACGCAACCATTATCCATTGCACATGTAAAATGATATGTATTCGAACATCGTGGATAAAAACATGTTAAACTACTACCTTTTTGTTTACATATAATACATTCTGTATATATTGAACGCATAAATGCTTGTTCAACACACATTAATGCACCACTAAGTGTTTCATAAACTTCATAAGACCAAAATGCACAATTTAAATGACACCATTGACCAACATCCAGATTTAATAATCTAATATAAGATAATATATTTTTTAATAAGAAAAAAAAAGAAACAATTAAATATATACCTTCCAGGACCATTCGCTGTCATATCGCCTATACCATTACAAAAAGCACAATGTCGTTTATCTTCTTTGGTATTTAATGTTAATGGTATTTTTATATTAGCAATTAATTCATTAATTTCATTGGTATTCGATGGTTGAATAAATGTTTGAGTTAATAAATTTGAATCCCATCGTTTCCATCGCTTAATATCTTTTAACTAAAATGAAGAAAAAAATGTATGACCTTTTCAATTCAATATGAAAATTTACTTCATTAACTTGTTCTTCTTGACGTTTACATGGGAGATATTTTGGTATTGCAATATCCATTGGTTCCTTTTTAATATTAACGGGTGCTATTGGTGGTTGATATGTACTAGTTATATATGTATTGAAACATTGTTCATTACAAAAATATACAAATTGTTCATAATTTGGTGTTATTTCACGAAGATTTAATGGTAATTCATTTAAACGTTTTTTTAGAAAAAATTCAGTTATTGAATTTTGTAAACAATTTGGACAAATTTTTGGTTGTGTATCAATTAAAGATTGAATATTAACACTTGTTTCACGACCAATTTTATATATTGATGATGCTCGATTTAAAGTAGTTATAGGTAGATGTGAAGATAAAGATAAGAAATTGTTATTATTATTTTGATTAGAATTATTTATAGTTGATGAGCATGTACAATTATTATTATTATTATTATTTAAAGTTTGATGAACATCAAATGTTGTTGGATAAGCTATTTTAAGTAAATCAGCAACAGCAGCAATAACACTTTGAACATTATTTGCTGCTTCAGTTGTTAATGTTAATGTAACTGATACCTATTTGAAAATGCAAAGAGAGATATTAAATCAGAAGATATAATACAAGGGTCATTATCAAGCAAAGCACTGATCAACAGAAAGTAATATTTAATTATTAAATCAATTATAGAATGAATAATCTCTCTCAAAAGTAAAGATCGGGATTAGATCGACTGAAGATAAATTACAACTGCAATCGTAGAGAAAGAAAATATACAACGGAAACTTTTAGATTCATTGCTAATGACATGACCTGAATAGACTAAAGACAAGTATTAATAAATGCAAGTTCAGTTCTTTGTCGTTTAACTAGGGTTCGGCGGGAAGGGGTTTTTTTCATTCCGATCCCGATCCCGGCAAAATATTTTTCGGAAT